TAACGCATGTAGATGTGTAACTTATAGTTTTCCCTTTTTTTTTTTTTCCGATTAATAAAAGGAAAAGTAAATGATTTTCATATTTTACTTTTAATCAAGTGAGTTATAAGAGACTGAAGTCACCCAACATACTGGATCCAAATTTAAGAAAAAATAATAATTAATTATATGGAAGCAATGAAGCATCGATCAAGATAGACACTAAAAAAAACTTTTAAATAATAATTATCAAATATTTGGTGGATTGCTTTCTAATCAGAAATTAAAAAAGTAACTAAACTTGAGGTTTGTCATTTTGTTACAAAGACCCCTCAATGTCTGATTTTACAATAAATTTACATATCTAGCCTCCTTATTATATTATTAAAAAATTAAAATACTTAGAAATAACAAAGGACCTTTTTACCCAATAACATTTATCCTCTTCTTTTCTCTCGTCTCCGCCAATTACTCTACCCGGGCCACTTCTACCATCCACCATCACCACCCACAGTGCCACCATCACCACCAAAGTAGGTTTGTATAGCAAGTGACATAGGGGTTATATGCGTGTAAATATATATATATATATATATATACATGCCACCACCACCAAGCACCATCATTTCACCACCCCTACCAAGCACCATCTCCTCTTTTTCTTCTTTAAAACTGAAACCCATCTCCAATATTCAATCTCAAGCCTATCTCCTTAGCCGGCGGTTCTGTATTGTACAACAATGCTTTGAATGTAAGCATTTAGGTTAGACCGAATTGAAGGCAAGCTAATTGGCCAAGGGCAATGTTTAGACGCTCTATTGATTCCAGCGAAACAAAGAAGAAAATAGAGCTCAACCCAAACCGTGCCGAAGAAGATCATGCTAAAACTCCATTGATTCAGGCGAACTCGAGTGACGAAGAAGGAATCTGAATGAATCGATGATGATGGTGGTGGTGGTGGTGGTGTTGGGTTTAATTAAGACACTACAGTGGTGGTGGTGTTGGGTTTGATTAGGGCTCTGCAATCGGTGTCGCGATTGTGGTAGTATTAGGTTTCGATTACAATCGGTGATGGCGGTGGTGGATCGATGAGGGCTCTGCAACCATGCCACCACAAATTCCTTAAGCGGGTGGTGCAACAGTGGTGACGGACCGGCGAGGATGAGGATGGGCTCTGCTGCGGTGGCTCAAATATATGTTTCGGCCGTAATGGACGGTGGGCGGTGGTGACAAATTCACGGCGAGCAAAGATTTGGGCACCGTGATGGCTGCCGTGACTGGTTCAGAAGCTCAGCGGTGATCACGGATTGCCGTGATTGGTTCGGAAGCTCAGCGGCGGTGGTGGATTGCCGTGACTGGTTCGGATCGGACTGGTCTGATCTTTATATATATATATATATGTATGAATTGCAACCATATATGTATTATGTGTGTGTGTGTGTGTGAATTTTGCACACAAAACACATTATTTTATTTGGGTGTTGCAAATGGATTCAGCAGAGCTGCAGAAGTGATGGTGGCCATGAAGAAGTGGAGGTGGGTTCGGAGAGAGACAACGGTGACTAAGTGGTTTAAGGGTAGTTTGGTCCACTTTACATAAACTTTATTGTCATTTGTTTTCATTATAAAGGTAATAAAGTCTTTTTACGTTGTTGATGGGTATTTTAGTCACTTCAAATTAATTTTTTGATAAAAAATATTATTTTTGTACGGAGGAAAGGTCATTGCAAAATGGAAAAAACTTCAAGGGGTCACATGGCAACAAAATGACAAATTTCAGATTTAATTGAAATTAGTTCAAACCTCATGGGAGGTCATTGTAGTTTACCCTAAAAACAAATATGGTGGGTCCTAAGCTAAGCCTTAGTCTTCAATCAAAACTTGTATAATCTCAACCTCTCACCTATACAGTAAACACCAAGCGGACACATGTCACAAACTCTACAACTCTCAATTTTAGCCAATTACATTTTATGGATTACATAAGAGGATATGATATATGATTGGCGGTATGTCAAAAAATATAAATATATAAGATTGGGGTTATCATCATTTGGTCATTGAAGGTAAAGGCCGTATGTCAAAAACTATAAATATATAAGATTGGCGTTATCATCATTTGGTCATGGAAGGTAAAGGCCGCAATACTTCATGCTTAAATAACTAATTTTAGTGGCCGTGTAGCACAGCTGGATGGTAGGATAAATTTTTAAAGTCCCTTGCATAATATGAGGATAAAATTTGTCTATTTATTTGTGAGTATGTCATTTTTATTGATAAATAATTTAATTACGAATGTATAAATAGTCTATAATAAATAAGGATAATAACATACCATCATATGAGTCACGTGTATGTGGATAAAAAAAATAAAATTTATTATCTCACAACAAATAGTGTTTTTTTTTTTAAAAAAAAAGAATTATAATAATAACATTTTTTCAATGTACAGTATTAATTCAATAATTGAGAATACGGACTTAATGCATTGTACTTTCGTAATAAACTCTCTCTTTTAAATACACTTTAATATACATGACAAGTCCCTGTTAAATTGTATAACATAGATGGTGATTTGATCACGTATAAAACACATGATTGTATTAATATTTGCATCTCCATCTTATTAATCTTACTGACTATCTAGATTATTTCAACATGTAATCTTGTCAATTTAATTTTTCAAGTTATTATGAAATTGAAAAATTATTAAAGTAACATCGAACTACTAAACATATATTTCTTACGACTCTAAATGATTGGTGAACTAGTAGAAGTTGTCACTACTTGGCATCCTTATGAAGTAAATTATTACTCAGTTTTTAGGTTCGGATTAGAGTTAGAGTTAATTCAGATTCAACAACTTAAATTTGGGTCCTTACCCTAAAATAATAATAACAATGTGTAGGACAATACTTATATTCTCACTAGTGATAATCTACAATATTCCCACCTCTTATGTGATCCAATAAAAATAAAATACGTCATATTTTATTAAACAGGTCAAAAAACGAATTTTACCCGAATGAGATAGGGTAAAGAGGGTTAAATAATTTTTTTTCTCTTTATTTTTTTTTTCTATGGCTCAATGTCTGTTCTCTCTCGTTCCGGCACCAACCTTCAACCCTCTCTATTCACCATCTTCTTCCTAAAGGAACTCAAATTTTTTTCATTTTATGTTGATGTGTAGTGCTTGTAAATTAAGGCTCAATTAATCAAGAGTTGCTATATTATTCGTAAAGGAACTTATTCATTTTCTTTAAATAGGCACAGAATATAGTGCAATATTATGTTTACATGAAATTATTAGCAATATAGGGGAGGTGGCAGTCGGGATAGTGTGGGTTCACAAAGCAGTAGAAGGGTGGGTGATAATGTTGTGGTAGCACAGGTAAGGTGTTTCAGTAACCTATCAAAACCAAGGAACACAATCTTATCAGAAATCAAGTTTTTAAGTTTTGTGTTGATATGCTTATGAATCCTTAAATCTAATACATAATCATTCATGAAAAGCCCTTTTCTAAAAGAAGAATCCTAAATAGGTAAAAAAAAAAGTTCATATTTCCTTCAAATATTATTGACAATTGAATGATGATGTCTAGAACTAAAAATTTGAGAGGAAGATGATGGTGGAGAGAGAGCGCCGAAGGTTGGTGCCTGAAATAGATATAACCAACGTTGAACCCTTAAAAAAAACCTGAACCCCCTTAACCCGATCTCATTTGGGTACGATCCGGTTTATTTTCTTTTTCTTTATTTTTCTGACATGTATAAACATCATTTGGGTACGATCCGGTTTATTTTCTTTTTCTTTATTTTTCTGACATGTATAAACAAAATATGCGTGTTTTATCTTTACTGAACTGCTAAGAGGTGAGGATATTGTAAATTATCACTAGTGAAGATTTAAGTATTGTCCTAATATTTAATTCAAGTTAAACTTATGCACGCATTTTTTAATAACAAAATTATGCTTACACGTGGGTTACTCCTTAGACAATTATCAAATTTTTGTATAAAAATTTATAAATAAAATCAATATATTTACTTACGTATTCGTATCGAGTTGTTGTGATTAATGAAAATCGTATAAATTTTAGGATAAGACTTGTATATTTATCTAAGTAGATTATTCTTACTTACCGCTTATGTGGTCAAATATACAAATAGTTTATAATTATAAATTAAGAAATATTTTTAAATAAAATCAATAATTTTATTCTAAAATGATAAATCGAGTTGTTGTGATTAATGAAAATCATATAAATTTCAGGATAAGACTTGTATATTTATCTAAATAAATCATTCTTACTTACCGCTAATGTAGTTAAATATACAAATAGTCTATAATTATAAATTAAGAAATATTTTAAATCAATAATTTTATTCTAAAATGATAAATTTAATCATCCTCTCTAATTTCCTTTCTTATATATTTTTTAATTTTATAATTACATATTATTATCTGTGATTGGACACATCAATACACCAGTGAGTAATCAAGTCTTTATCTTACAATTTGAGCCATCTATTAATTTAAGTGGTTGTTGGTACTTTTCAACCATCAACCAACTTCAAGCCAAAAAAAAAAAAAAAAGAAAACCAACTAGAAGCCATTGATTCTTCAAACTCACGCGTACCCCTCCGTCAATGCGCTCGTGTAAAAAACACACCCTCTCTCTCTCTATATAATTAGATATACGTACCTCTCTCTCTATATAAATACATATACTACGTATATCTAAAGATTCTCTCTATTGCCAGTCGGTGGATCTGATGGTCAACAATGGATAGCGCTATTAGAAATATCACTGACGCACGTGGGGCCCAGTACCTTAAAACCAAATAACTCCCTCTCCACAAATCTTCCTCTAATCTCAGCCGTTGATTACACAAAATGGTCCCATACTTCCACTCTTCCCTGTAGCCAGTTGCAACAGCCAACCTGCCAGTGCCACGCATCAACCAGAGTCCAACGCGGACCACGGGCGAGCTTTTTACTCTCTCTCTAGAAAAAAAAAGTTTTATATATTTGTATAGGTATAGAGAAAAATAGAGAGAGAATCTTCGAAAAAGAGTCGGGCTTGCGTGAATTTGCAACACCTGGCGACTGCAAAGGCCGAGAGTTTCAGGAGGCCGCTTCTCTGCTCGCCACGAAGAACACCTTAATTGACGTTGCGAAAATTGGAAAAAAGAAAAAAGAGAGAGAAAAAGAATTCGAATCATTTCTTTAAATTTTTTTCCCCTAAATTTCGAATCCCTATTAATCAGATCGTATATCAGTGGTTCGGTGGAGTCTGATTCGTACTACTTTGATCCAGCTGATTGCTGCTTCAAACCGAGCGTTTGAGGTTCTAGTGGTCGATTTTGTCTCATTTCTAAAGCTTTTCGAAGGTTGGCTTTGGAGATTTGGAGGTTTTTGCTTCAAGGATTGTGATAGCTGCTGATTGGCACTTCTAGAGAGAGAATTTTAGAGCGAGAAAATTTATTAGTATGCTTCAAAGGTTTGGTTTTTACTGGATTGAAGTCTAAGATCGTTGCAAAGAAGATATTTGTTTTGGCTTTTGATATAAACTTTGATCGTTGTTTGCAATTTAAGGCACTCATTTGTTGTTGACATATAAGTTTAGATTTTTAGAGGAATTGGCTAACTTGGGTTTGGGTTTTGGATGAGTTTGGGACTCTGAAGAATTGTTGATTCATGGTTCTGAGACTTTTGGATTGTATAGATATAGATACAGGTATAGGTTTCATTTGATTGGTTGGGGTTTATACAATTAGTCGACATGGTTAGCGGAAATATATTTCATTGTAGAAGGAATTCATGGCCTCCTGAAGAGTATATAAACCGGGCAACATTGCAGTTGGTAAGCTTGTCTTCATTTCAGCTTGTAGTTGCAGAATTGGTATATATATATATATATATATATATATATATATATATATATATATATATATATATATAAAATACATTTTTACACAGAAAAGTTAGTCTTTTTATTGAAATTATATATTTTATCAACTTTGAAACTAGACAGAGCACTGCAAAAAAATTGTATCATGAGAAAGAATATAAGAGTACAAAGTTCTATTTAAACAGATTTTTTTTTTTTTTTTTTTTTTTTAATTACGAGTTCATTATGTGTGCGGGTAATGTGAAATGTGAGAGCTTTTCATTTTCAATAGTTTATGCTCATTTTTTGCCCTTCTATGAGTGAGCTGATTGTAGCATGGAATGCTTAATTGAGCCAATTTGTGCAGTTTTGAAAGAAGAGAACTTTTGGAAGATCCTGCAATCGCAACCTTTTAGTTTTCAAAACTTCATCAGCCACATCAGTAATCAGTTTGAAAAAAAATTAAGCATAGATTACTTAAACCTTGTAAGCACCAACAGTGTTGTTAAGATGAAATTTTGTGCAACGTATCCAATTTTTGCTTTTCCTACTCTCAAGTAATGCAACTTCTTTACTGTATTTCTCAAATTCAGTATAGGACACTGTGTTTCTCAAATTCAGTATAGGACCAAGGTTAATTTGTAGTTTTAAAGGTTAAAGACCGTACACGTGTATATATATAAACGGATTAAAGACTGTGCATACTGCAAGGGTGCTATTTATCTACTCTTGAATGTTGGTCAAATATAAGTTGAAATTTGTTTTTTAAAGAAGAGGTATTAAGTTGAAAACATCTTCAAATTATCACAAAATTGTTGGTTTGTGTTTGCTGTTGTTCTTTAGGGTAAGTGTCATTGTACTTGTTTATTGTGTTCCTTGGTGGTTTTGAACTTGAATTCAAGCCTCAACAGGTTCAACAGGTCAGTTGTTATTTTGAATTACATAGGCTAACAGATGTCTACAAACAAGAATTTGGATTTGATTGCTTGGTGTGGGGGTGGATTATTGTGTGGCATTACTTTTAGTGACATCTTATTTATACCCATTAACAGCTTTTATCAGTTTCTTTATTTATTTATTTTTTTAACTTGAACTAATTGTTGTTCCTCAAACTTTACCTGAAGCTTGATTATGATAGTGCTGCTCCTCCAGAACAAGCTTGGAGAAGAAAATTAAATAGCCATGCTAGTATTCTTAAGGAATTCAGTGTTACATTTATGGAAGCAATAAAAATGGTAACCATCCTTAGTTGATGAATCCATTTTCTGGCTTTAAAGGACACAAAGGTCCTGTGTGACCACATTTTTCCCTCCTCATTTCTCATTTGGTGATTGTTATTTGAATTTTAAATATAGGTTCGACTTGGCATACGATTGTGGTCATATGTAAGGGAAGAGGCCTCTCAGGGAAGGGTAACTATCTCTATTCTATTCATATTTAGTCATTTTTTTTCCTGAATTTTTTATTTTTTTTTATTTTGAAGAAATTTCTTTCTATTTTCGTAAAACTTAGAAACAGATGAGGACAAGTGCTTTTTGATGCTTGAGAAGAAGTAATTAAAATTAAAACCACATCTGTTTTTTATGTCCTGTTATTTTAATTTGAATTCTTCCTCCCTGATCTCTGCAGAAAGCACCTATTGATCCTTTCACTCGAGAGAGTTGCAAGCCATCAGCATCCCATGGGGTTCCACTTGGGGGGATGGGGTAAGTAGTGGGTGATCTATGAGATATCGGCTATTTCTTTATTACTTTTCTGCATCTGATGGGGGGATTAATCTTTTTACTCACAGAAGTGGCAGCATATCTAGAGGCTTTAGAGGCGAGTTCAGGCATTGGCAAATTATTCCAGGCACATGTGAGGCTTCGCCTGTCATGGCCAATCAATTCTCTGTAAAGCTCTGCCCTTCAACTCATCATCTGCTAGTTGTTTATTATTTAGCTCCAGGAAACATTTATGTGATATTCACATAATGTGTTTTCTGTGAGTATGTGCTTTCAGTTACCTTTTATGTTTATTGTCTTTCATTTCAATTTGCAGAAGTTGATGATAAAATTTTCAAATTGTTTTATTCAAGTGTCATCATTTATTTAGCTTGCAACAAAAATTGAAGATTGTATGTGATAATCTTTGCTCCATTTCTGTTGTGTTCCAAAATTTGTACAAGATATGTACATTTTGCTAACTGAAACTTGCCTCCAACAGTAAACTTATGCTTATGTAACTTTATCACACAAAACTTGGATATTCCTTCTTTCTTTCTTTCTTTCTGTCTTTCTTTTTTTTTTTTGGAATTTTGGTCCAGATTTTGCGGGCAGAATAACAATAAGAATGCTTGCGTATAAAGAATGTTTAAATGCATATGTTGTTTGTATGAGAAATTACAAAATCTTGGTATCATGTGCTATTATGTTGTGAAACAAGGTAAATAACTGAGATAATGACACAAATTACTTTCGAATTGTGCGGAATGTTAAAAATAATATTTTTGAACTCAGTATATCCAATTTCTGAGTGTGATGGGGTACAGAGCACTTGTTGCCAATTTACTTCAGTTGAGATTATGAAAAGAACTGTTGTATATTGCAGGGAAATAAGTACTATAAATTCACAGATACGAGCTTGAAAATGGTTATAATTAGCTATTATCCCCAAGTGCTGCACACTTAAAGTGATTGTTTCTAGGAAATAGTCTCATGTCTAACTGTAAACTTATACTATCTTTACGAGGATCCTGAAATCGTAACATTTTCTTTGGATAAGCTTAAGACCTTGACCTAGTAGATCATTAAGAGATATGTGGAACCCAATTTCCATTATGGTCCAAGCTTAGAGTCTGATAGTCACAATCGTCATCATCCTTTCCCTTATCCCATATATTTAGAGTCTGATTAGGATATAAAAGATTTGGTGTGAAAGGATTTTCATTGATCGACTGGACTTACTTTTGGGGATTTTCTTTTTATTGTGGTTATTTGGTGGAAACTTTCTTTATTTGTTCTTTATGAAATCTTCAGTGATGACGAACTAGTGGTATATATATGTATCAAGTGATTGACTTTAAAGAAATCCAACTGTTTAGGAATTTGCTTTTCTGTTTACTGCATACCCAACTGAGTTGCCATGTCAAAACGTATCCCCAGAGGCAAAGAAATCCAGTTGATGGTTATGGTGACATGAAATAGTTTGGAGCTATCATTTGGGTTGCTCTAAAGGCATTGTTACCCAGTCTGATGTGGAAATAACTACTGTATGAGACTTGCTCTGTTCTCCAAGAAGCGTTTTGGTTCCTTCTTATTATTTTATTTTAGATCCAAGTAATATAAAAAAATTCTAAATGCTATTTGATTGTATAAACCACAAATTCTTCACTTTTGAGATGTAAAAGTATCACGTTGTATTATTTCATTTATTTTTTTGGTACTACAGATTTTCATATCTCGAGATGGAGGAAATAAAAATTATGCATCAGTTTTAGCCCCGGGCCAACATGAAGGTTTAGGGTAAGTAAATATGTTACAATATTTCAATTGTAATTTTCTGAAGCAGACCATATGCATTTTTTAGATCTATTTCTAATAATGATGAGTAGAGGCTTTACTGAATTGACAAATGATATATGATTCATTGAAATAAAATTCACTTGTGAGAGAGAGAAATTTTATTTCAAATACTAGCATTTCAAAAGGAGACTGTCCATTTAAGGTCATAATAAGAACATAACCATTCACAGCAAAAGCTTATGTGAATTTGGTGCAACTCTTCATATATGCTTCTGACTCCTTTTTGAGGCTGCTGATGATCTTTGAGTAGGCTGAGTATCCAAGCTGTTCCAACTCCTTCCAATAGCCTTTGATATTCTTTGTACTGCAGAGACTAGAAAAATTGTTTTTTGTCGAGTATATGAGCCTTTCTACTTCATAGATTAGTCACAGGAAGAGTAGTGACTGTGAAGTGACATGCATATGGTTGAATGGTTTTGTGTTTTTATATAACTCGGAATGAATCAGTAAGATGTGATGTATTGGACCACTGGTAGATCAAAAGAAACCATGGTAGCCTAATGGTTAAGCTGATGTGTCCAAAGAATTGATTGTGGGTTCAATCTCCAATTGCAGCAAGCTTTTGGACTCTCTCTGATGTAGTAGATTCATGCTAAAAAAAAGTAAAAAATTGTAAAATAAGTGATTGCAGCCCAAACAGCTGTCAATCTTTCCAGGTACACTTATAATAGCACAGAAGGAAGTGGTTTAGTGTTCATAAAATCTAATTTTGCATTTAAATGTAACTACTACTCCCACCCACCCCAACAACAAACACAGACATACATTTTAAAAAATAATAATAATAAGAAAAACGGTTAGTCATCTTAGGTTACAGGAAATACTTTACATTGGATTATGTCATCACTTTTAAAATCTAGTCCTACATATCTTACTCATTTTATCCTTTACACACTTGTGGTTTCCACATGAAGAAGTCAAGTCTATTTTGGTCAAATCTTGAACTAATTTGAGCCGAGTGAAAATATGCAATAAACTTTAAACTTGTCTGCGTAATTAGATGAACTTGGCCATATAAGGTGAAAAGAAAGAAAAGGCATTCCTTTTGCATATATTGGCTCTCAATGCTTTCAGAATATAAGCAAGAGGGGATCTCTGATTCAATTTTTAATATTGAAAAATGTGAATCTTTCAGAATTAACTATGTTTTTTATTAGTTATTTATTTTTAGATACATTATGCATACTGTACAAAGTTTTACTACCGTTTACGTTATTTCTCAAATATTAGTTCCTTTATATTAATTATATTTTGGATTAGTCTAGATATTTCTCACATATCCCATAACTTCAACCCTTTTAAGGACGTCTGCTCTTTCATTTTTGGCTTTGTCTCCTTGTCTGCTTCCAACTTGGTCTGTTTGACACAATGATCGGCAGCAATGCATCCCAGTTACGTGAAACCATCACTTATTTCACCTTTACAGTTGAGCAAACTCTTACCATGTTTATTTTGCACGTGCAATTTTAGATTTTATTTTTAGATAGTATAATTCACTTTGGCGGAAAGAAATTGCTTTTGAAACTCTCTGTTTCCTCTACCTATTGATCTATCTGACCTGTTAGGTATATTCTATATCTCACTACTATAGCTAAATAGCTAATTTGCATGATGATTGGTTGCTGAAAATGAAAAGAGAAACCAGCCAGAAAATGATGCATGTGTATACTTTTGTCTCCTCCTCGAAGAGAAAAGGCAGCAGACTGCTTTTGACAACTATGTATTTATTTAGAATTCATGTTGAAAGGGACAACGCTATACAATTGAACTCTGCATGTTCTTGTTGATTTTTGTGAGAATTAAGTATATAGAAACATTGAGTTCTGTTGGCTCATGTAAATTGCAAGATTTATTAAATTCTACATAACATTACAACATCAAATGGAAGATGTCTCGAATGCCTTTGCCTGGAACTTTTTGGTACGAAATTATCATAATGAATGGGATTTAATGTAATACTGTCGTCTCTGCCACCACCACCACCACCATCATGATCATTATCATTATTGTTATTTTTTGTTTGGAGGGGTTGGGACTGAGAGGACAAGGAATTAGGGAACTGTAACCAAAATTGGGGTACATGACTTGTTTTAGGATCTTAGGATATAGCTATTTTTTAATTTTTTACCTTCATTAATTCATCTGCGGTGAATTGGCTGGCATTGTATTGTCTTCATTTGGAGGATGTCTCATAAAGAACATTACATGTGCAACATAACTACATAAATAAACTAATTATAGTTAGGGATGTCTAAACGGCAAGTGTACTCTTCTTTAGTGTTGCTTAGAAGTTCTATGGAACTGTATAGTGATGTGCAGATTGTTATCTTAGTTTTTTTTTTTTTTTGATAAGTAAGATTGTTATCTTAGTTTTATCTCATTCTCTAACAGGAAACCTAGTGATCAAGGTATATCATCATGGGGCTGGAATTTGAGTGGTCAGCATTCGACATATCATGCACTATTTCCAAGGGCATGGACAATATATGATGGTATTATTCTACTTTGGACTAAAATTCTACTTAACATATAGATATTCCACTCATTTTGTTCTTTTAATTATGTTACTCTTACTTTCAGGTGAACCAGATCCAGAACTAAAAGTGTCTTGTCGGCAAATATCACCATTTATACCGCATAATTATAGAGATAGCAGTCTTCCTACTGCTGTTTTTGTTTACACGGTATGGAAATTTAACTTCTAATATGAAATAGGTGCATTACCGGTGTTGGGTATAAAGTTAATCTTCGACGTTATTTACACTATCACTCTCAACTGCCCAAATTTTTCCCACTATACCAAGCGATGACCCCTAACTTCTAATATCAAATATTGTTGTTAGTTATAGTGCTCTTTTTTCTCCATATGGATTCTTAAAAGGAACTAATATTTAAGTGGGTTTTCATCATCTATATATCAGTCATATGAAATGACTTCGCTGGTAGGAGTTTCAACTTATATTCTTTTGATGCTAAAGAAATGTTTTGCATCGACTTAATTCTGATTCAGATCCAGAAGTTTTTACAGTTGAGACATCCAGTATAGGCGTTGGACGGCTACTGGATGGGTTCTCTTAGGTTGTTTGCTAGAATAACCAATCTACACCAAAAATGGGGAGGATGAGTTAGTGACATTAGAAATAGCTAGTGAGATTAAAAATAGTAAGTGCAGAATAACAAATTGGCTTGGACTCTGGCTTAGATTGTTGCTTATCAAATTTCTACAACATGGTTGTAATTGTCTGCCATGGGTTTCTTTCTACTTGAGTATTTTTTGTGTATGTGAATCTATATGAATATGTTTATCTGAGAGGTGTATTTGTCTTCTGTTATTTTCTTTTCTTCTGATTGCTACTTGCTACTATATCACTTCCTTCCATGATCCTATGTATGTGTCAATGTGTGATGCTTCTCTTGTTGGCTAAATTAATATTGTCTCCTTCTAAAATGGGGCATTGGCTATCTATAACCATGTGTAGGAGTGTTTTTTCTTTCTTTTTCTACAAAATTGTAATTTATTCATAAAAGTTACGACTAACTTTTTGTACTGTACAAGCAAGAACCAATAATATGGATGTATGACTTGCTTTTCTTGAGCTATTTAGTTCTTGGCCTAATATCCGTCCCCCCATTCCTGACCTGTTAAGGAGAGAACGGCTTTCTTAGTTCATTCCCTTCTTCTTTCTTTACACAATTATCAGTATAGGACTGTATAAATAAATAAGAGCAATTCTAGTCCTTTGTACCAGAAGAGTGATTAATTCACCCAGTATCTTTAGTCTGGTCTACCAGTAATTAAATAAATTAGTAATAAATGATTCTGTAGTCTGATGACCTTAAGAACTGTTTTAAAAAAGTCATCTTTCAGAAGAATGGTTAAATTTTATCTCCTGCTTAGATATACACACACATATATATATATTGATGATATTAGTGCAAGAATTATTAGAATCACCATTATTGTATGATTTGCTCACATACCTGTGGCTTGTTTCTGTTGTAGCTGGTAAATACTGGGAAGGAAAGGGCCAAAGTTAGCCTTCTTTTTACGTGGGCGGTAAGCTTGTTCTGCTGCCAAAGCTTTTGGTTTATTGTTTCAAGCAAGAAAAGATGGACTATGAGCTCTTATATTTTCAGTCATCATTTTTTATGTTGCATAGAATTCAATTGGAGGCACCTCACACCTATCTGGTGATCATGTGAATGAACCATTCATGTGAGTACATTTGAATATTTTTGTTTGTTTGTTTGTTTTGTTTATAACTCTAGTGGAATATAATACTGACTTTTATTCACCTTTTTTTTTTTTTTTTTTTAAATTTTTTTAAATAGAGGCGAAGATGGAGTCTCTGGCGTACTTCTACATCACAAGCAAGTTATCAAACCTTAATAGCTATATATGACAGTTGATTTGCAATGTATTCTGGAGTAATTGCTGGGTTTTTGTAGGTGTAAGTGAAGGGATGGTGTCAACTAACTTCCAAATTTATGTTCTTCATAAATACAGTAATGCACAAAAAGAAAAAATATAATTAGCAACCAATAAATAAAATTTCAAGTCAATCTAGCAAGGAAAATACACGATTGCTTTGGTATGGTCAACTCTGGAGTGGAATTGTTTTGATAATAGATTATGCAGCCTGTAAATATGAAACTAAATTTCAAAGATTAGAATAAAAAATAAAAAATAAAAAAAAATTGAAATATAACCACTACATGCCAAAAAAAAAAAATTTCTTTGAAATAAAAATCAGGTCTATTCCAAGGGTTAATGTGTTTGCGTATGTTTGTTGGAGTTTGATAGAGGGAAAAAAATGGATAATTGTTATATTTTGGACCTAGGAACTTAGCCATAAAAACCGGAAGATCAGTGCCAGTACCTTGAATTCTTGCCTAAATTGCCAAACATGAGAGCATTAGAACCGAGATTTTCATCCTCCTTGAAAGGCACTCATTGTCGTAAACTTTTTTTTTTTTTGTTGTTTTTATTTATATATAAAAAAAAGAACTGCAATTTCATGACCATCTGACGTGCTTCCTGCAGCAAAAACTGAAAATACTTTCCTCCATTCTTGTAAGGAGAGGCTTTCTCCTTATAGCTGACTTCTCAATACTATAATTGAACCCCTTTAAATGACTAATTTGGGATCAGTTTGACCCGAGTAGAAATTAATTAAGCATTTGTTGTTTTCCATTCTTTGTTTCTTTTTTATTTGTTTAAAGTTTCTAAAATTATACAGGACTTGTGTCGCATTAATATTATGACACCTCAGTTATAAGGAGAGGATATCTCCTTACCCAGGTTGATGTATTGTGTTGAACTCACTTTGGTGAACATTTCAACTAAATGACTAATATATTAAAAATCATTAAACATAAGGGGTGAAGTTTCTGGTTGTCTCTGTGTGTGTGTGTGAGGAGGAGTGCCCCGCGGGGCGGGGGGTTTAATCCTATTCTTTCTGTTCTTCCTACGTTAACCTTTTGGTGATCGATAAATGATTGTTTCTTTATTTCTGGCATTTCCATTCAAATTTATATATCTATATATGTATATATTTATTTTTTTTCTTATTTTGTCATTTGATCATTTTCCCCTGTATGCTATGCTAACATTAATGTAGGGCACCTATGCTGGGTACAATTGTGTGTGCTGGTGTTTAGAGTTGTAGCTATGACACTGTTGAATTCTCATTACCATATTGTCATTGCACTGTTGAATTCTCATTACCATATTGTCATTACACTGTTGAATTCTCATTACCATATTGTCATTACACTGTTGAATTCTGATTACCATCTGCGTAGTACTAGATGAAGTGCCTGCTATAGTATGCCAAACACAGAAACCTGAACTTAGTTCAACTACTATGATATAAAGTAACTACCCAGATGGGTGTCCTAGAAATTTTTTGGTTAATTAGTAGGTTGCAAATGAGTCGAGCCAAGTGAAGCAAGACGAGCTTTGTCCATGCTCAGCACCTGTCTAGACGAGCTTGTCTTAGCCAAATTTGAGTTTGGCTTCAAATTATTCAGCCATGCTCGTGCTCAGCTTGGTTCATACTAGTTTGCTTATATATATAATATACGATCACAGGGTCACACAGATACACACATATATATTATATGCAGGTTAAAAAATAAAGATCCTTATGTCTTTATAGTTTATATATATGAATTCATATTTTTGCAGATTCAGATATAGATACACGCACACGTATATATCTACATACCTGATGAAATTGTCGGCAACTAGATAATATCCTAGATAATATGTTCCAAAACTAAATGCCTAGGGGTTAACGTGCTGCAAACCAATGGGTCTCTTGCTAAATTATTGTTTGCCAAATATAGCACTTTTTAACAAGTTCTGATTCCGATTTTTTTAGTCAAGGAAGGCTTGGGCACACTGAAGATGAGATTTTTCAGCTTTCGGATCCAGCCAAGCGTGGTGTTCCTTTTGTATGATAGTGTTGAATTTGCTTTGGTTGCCGGATCTTTATCCCCCTCTTTATATGTGAGATCTATAATGTAATTTTATACATATCTCGAGTCAATACAAGATGGGCTTGAATTTCCCAACTTATCCCTGGTTGAAGATAAAATGGATATGTGATATTAGGATGTGGCCTCCTCTATGGGCATGTAAATCTGGACAAAACCTAATCTTAACCAAAGGACTTGGTAGGGATGATGGACAATTGTGCCCTGATTTAGGCCATCAAATTAAAGAGCAAATTGCCTGCAGGCTGCCATCACCCCCCCAACCCAAAAAAAAAAAAGGGTTAGAATCAAATCATCAGAAGTTGGAGGCTTGGAGCAACCCAGTAATTGTTGCATCTCATTTAGTTGCAGCCTTGATCTCCTTGTTGAAGTCACTAAGAAGATATACGATGCTTCTATGATCAATAGCCAATGTACCGTAAGCTCCAGAATGTCCACCGGTGTTGTACAAATAGTTAGACAACATGGTGTTGTTGGACCATCTTTCATAGAAAATATGGAATTACAAAGTTGGCCAGTTCAATTTGATTCTCCTCACTTTCAATCTCCCAAATGCAAGCTAAGATGGATTAAAATTTGATTTAAATTTATCAGTGGCTCCTTTTGTATTGGACGTGCAAGTGATTGACAATATTTGGATATGAATTTATCAGCCTGGCAAATGTTCTAGGTTGACATTAATGATGAATCTTATCCTGATACGATTATTCTATTTTCTTTTAGTTAATAGGATTTCGTGAACTTGAACTGAGAAATTACTTTTTCTACATGCATGGTTCTTGTTTCCTTTGTCCATCCTTTTATATATGCATAGATATAAATATCAAGATGCCAAGTATATTTGTTTGGGAGTCTTTATATGTCTTCTTTATCACATACAGTACATACTTTGCCCACCTGGCCCCCTTTCCAATATGTCACATGTTAGATGATCACTTTATCATGTCTGAAAAAAAATTATTTTTTTGATATTTATGTATACTTGAACCAAAATACATATTTTATGTGGGGTTTGGTATCATGTCTTTGAAAATATGAATTTTTAACTGGAGTGCTACTGCTTCTAATTATAATGCACGTGTTCAGGACCGCGAAAGGGAACCCTCCTGTTACTTTTGCCATAGCTGCATGTGAAACTCAGAATGTAAGTGTGACTGTTCAGCCCTGTTTTGGGTTGTCTGAAGGAAGCTGCATTACTGCGAAAGATATGTGGGGTAAAATGGTGAAGGTAATGGTTTTAACCATCAGGTTTCTATAGACCTTTCTACACTTGCTGCGTCAACATTACTTTTGCTGCTGTTTTGGACACCCTAGTACAAGTCTTTTCTGTAGCGTTGAACAGTTTTCGTTTTTGGAACTTTGTATTAGGAATAAAAATGGTCCTGGTTATCTAATTCTATGATACTTTTCCTTGGTACAACAATTCCTTCTTAAGCATGTCAAGTGTCCAATTAAAAGCATTATGCACACTTCTATTATTGTTGACTTGTGTTTATGTGTCTTAAGGATGGACACTTTGATCGGGAGAACTTCAATACTGGACCTAGCATGCCTTCATCACCTGGAGAGACACCTTGTGCTGCGGTTTCTGCTTCCGCATGGGTTGAACCTCATGGAAAATGCACTGTTGCATTTGCTCTTGCATGGTCATCCCCAAAAGTAAAATTTAAGAAGGGAAAATCATATCACAGGTAACTTCTTTTAACTTTTTAAAATTTAACCTTTTTTGCTCATGCGGTCAAGTATGTATACATTCCATCCCTGCACTTAATTGTTCATGGTATTATGTTTCCTTATGCCTGGGGTTGTTTTATACCATGGGGTGCCGGTCTGGTTGGCATTTTTTCCAAATAATAGTCATATGTTCTTTTAGAGCAAAATCTAAAGCTATATACATGCTTCGCGTCAAAATAATGTTGTTAAGGACTAGGGCACATATGCGCATCACATTGTCAGATCCCAAAAAGAAAATATGTCAACATATTGGTAGTTCATTAATCACCAAGGGTCAAGCCTTTTGGTTCTCTACTTCGCTTTCACATATTTCTCTATTGTGTCTTTATTGGAAAGAAACATATCTGATGGCATTCTCTAATACAACATCATAATATCTGTTTCAACAGTAGTCCACTTTTTGCTGAATATTCTCTTAGCAGTTTGATAAAAATGCTCTTGGCTTATTTTATTTGTTATAGGAGGTACACAAAATATTTTGGCACTTCTGACAGAGCAGCTCTCAACTTGGTGCACAATGCATTAACGAGTACGTATACCTGATCTGGATTCCTTGATTATCAAAGTCACATTTATATATGCTCGAGTAATATGAAAAGGTTGGTGTATGTGTTTGTAAGTAGTCTTAATTTGTGATTGCTCAATTTTATATCCTCTTCTTTTTTTTTTCTTTTTTTAACTTTTATCAGATTATAAGCAGTGGGAAGAAGACATTGAGAAATGGCAAAACTCTATTCTGAGAGATGACAGGCTACCAGAATGGTAAATGTGGTTGAACTGTTACAACACTCTAATAAATGTTCATATAGTAAGGCTCTTGGAAACCCGTTGAAGCTCAAACTTGCCAAGGCTCACTTCAAAATCCTAGTGCCTTGAGATTATTGCATGTGACATTCCTTTACCTTTTATTTTTTCATAAGGTTACACGAACACAGACTGACGCAGAGGAAATTGCAGTGACATGCCGTAGACAGATCCTATTTTCGCATTTCTTTACTCATGCTTGGACATCCCTCATATGCTTCATACATTGAAATCTGAAACATAATGCATAGCATTATCACATTGTTGGGGACCTTGGGGTTCTTTATCATAACAATATAAAATATAAATGGTGAGGCATATCCCGCAACACAGTAGAATCCGAGGTGGACTGAGAGAGGTGGAAGCCCAAGCAAACTAGAGAGAGAGAAAGAAGATGGCAGTGTAGTAGTACACCGTTGACTCCCTTGGTGATGGTGTGGAGTGTATGGAGAAAGCATGGGTGTGAGAGAGCATTAGAGCTCTCAATGTCTAGGAGGTTATTTCCTCCTCCTTTTGCTCTACCCCTCTTGGCCTTGGAACATCTCCTTTTTAGGTGACATCGTCATATGACATCACATATGAATTAATTATAATTATAAATATTAATTATTTAAATATCTCAAATAATTATAAAGGAATATTAATTAAGATGGGGTTAATTTGTATGGGAGTCAAAATAGTATTCTCTCTCTACAAGTCTGGTCGAGGATTGACTCGGCGGACCTTGGACTTCAGCCACCAAACCAAGTACCTCCTTGGATCCTAGGTATTCCTGAGTCCTGCTGCTAACTCAGGTCTTCAAGTCTTAGATCTTCTTTTCGAGGTATGCTGATGACGTGGTAAGCGCCATGTAACTTTGACTGTTGATCGTTTGACCATTTGATTTGTGGGCCATTGTTGATGATGTGGCGTAACCCGTTGACCGCTTTGACCCAAGTTATGTTGTGGCATTGCCATCAATGCCATGTGAACTATGATATACAATTACCTACATACTTCTTTTGTACCAAGTTATTTTAGGTACCACTTGCCAATAGCTAACATTTTTGCCTATCCCCTTGTATTCTACCACTAATAAACACCAGAACAAGTCAAAATCAACTTTATGGTATAGACACACATGGATATTCAATGGGCTAGCCTGGAGTTAGGAAGCATGGACACTTCTCCTAGGGATTTCGTGGCGGTGTCGAACACTTGTGGGAGACAGCTTCGACACGTGTCCGACATGGCTAGAATTGTCCTGGAATTTGAAAATAAAATAAAATAAAATAAAAATTTCTGATTGACACAACAAGGACACGTGTGGGACACTTCTAGGACACGACCGGGTAGTTTTATAATTTTTTTTATTAGAAAATTGTGATTTCAACGCAATTTTAAATATATAGAGGCTAATTAGAATAAAAATATAAAATTTTAAAAATAATAATAGTAACAAAAATCTAGCTCTAAGCCGCAAAATAGTGATTTATTATGGATAAAATTAGTAAAAATTAATACTCTTAGGTTATTATTTTTTTGACGTATCCGTGTCTTATTTTTTTGAGATTTGCAATATTGCCGTGTCCGTAGCAAGGTGTACCCGTGTCCGTATCCGTGCTTCCTAGGCCAAGAGTATCCCCTTGAGTAAAAGCTTCCATCCACAGCTGATTGACCAAATTGAGGACCCCAAATTGCATGAGCAATAGGTCCTACATTTAAAGTGTCTCATATCTCCGACTCAAAATTTCCTTACCATGTTACACGAAACAAATATCCAGAATTTCACAGAAAATCTGCATGTCTTTATCACAGTCATTTTCTTGGGCATAACAATCAACATTAAGTATTCTTTTTTGTAATGATACTAGCAATAGAGCTCAGTCATAAAATGCATATTCACCCGTGACCTCTTGTTGTGTCCGTGTAACCTTAGGCAATATGCTTATAGATGTTTATTTTGAAGCAATTTTCTATTGTGCTACACGCTGATTTGCGCACATTGAAAAAAAGGACCTACCATGATGCTAACAGTTCCCATAAATGTCTTTTTGGAGCTTATCACATTTCCTATGGTGTATCTATAACATTTATGTGGTGTTTGCAGGTACAAATTTACATTGTTTAACGAGCTGTACTTTTTGGTTTCTGGAGGAACAGTTTGGATAGGTACCCTTTAAAACTTAATTCCCTAGTTCTTCACATCCTTATCAACTGCAGATAAGCAATATGCTTCTGAAACTGCATCTTATGTTAACACTATTGCTTTCTTTTGTCTCACACTTTTTATGGGATAAACATTTGGTTGATTTGCATAGTCCTGGCCATACTTCTCTTGCATGGTGTGAGGGCATTGGGGGGCTGGGATGGGTTGCAATTCTTATTGTTCATAATGATGAAGAAGAGGGGGATGGAATGTCTTGTTGCAACTACATTTGTGAGACTACAATATATTAGCCACTAAAGATATATGGTTCCCTAGCTGCATCTGGAGATGCAAAGTACTATGTGATTTAAGGTTGCATGCATGCACAAGCTCCTGTGTCCTTACTTTTCATTTCCCTCAATTGCTCCATTTGATTTTTATTTGCCATGAGGATTTGGAGGGAAGTGGGAATTATCTGGTAGAAGTGGATGAATGAGTTAGAAAACTGTATTTGTTTGCAGTAACCAATTTATGCTATTTATCAAAAAGTGATTTGTGTTTTAAGAATGCACAATGTCCTCCACATGGAGGAGGGAGAAAAGACTGGAGCTCACTTACGCAAATACATATAGATAATTGTAGTTATATCTCCTATCTTCATCACATGTTTGTCTAAAAATTAGCAATAATGTCATGGCTGCTTGATCTTACCATGCAGATTCTCCAATGCCAGCTGAAGATGTGGGGATTAATGGGCATCAATCAGTGATAGCAGAGAACAAAAACATTAAAGTAACTGAAGACAAAGTAAACTTGAAACAAAGTACTCTTGTTCAGCATTCCATGATTGATAGTCATGATAGTACTGCTGAAAGTATTTTAAATGGTGTTGATGAAGCAACTCTTACTTCGGGTAATGCAGAATCAGTGATTTCTCAGAGAACAGATTGCAAGTACTCTAGACATCACTCATCGTTTGACGCAGAGAAAGATAGCAATGATGTGGGTAGGTTTCTGTACTTGGAAGGTGTGGAGTATATTATGTGGTGCACATATGATGTGCACTTCTATGCATCTTTTGCCCTTCTTGAACTATTCCCCAAAATCGAACTCAGTATTCAGCGTGACTTTGCAAAAGCTGTCTTAAGTGAAGATGGAAGAAAAGTGAAGTTTCTGGCAGAGGGAAATTGTGGAATCCGCAAGGTTAAAGGAGCCGTTCCTCATGATCTGGGAACTCATGACCCATGGCATGAAATGAATGCATATAATATACATGATACAAGTAAATGGAAGGATCTAAACACGAAGTTTGTTCTTCAGGTGTATAGAGATTTTACTGCAACAGGGGATTTGTCATTTGGAGCAGACGTATGGCCTGCTGTTTGTGCTGCAATTGAGTACATGGACCGCTTTGATCGGGACAATGATGATCTCATTGAGAATGATGGATTTCCGGATCAGACATATGATGCTTGGACGGTTCATGGTATAAGTGCTTACTGTGGTGGTTTGTGGCTTGCTGCCCTTCAAGCTGCAGCAGCAATGGCCCTTCAACTGGGTGACAATGCTTTTGCTGAAAGATGCAAAACTAAATTTTTGAAGGCCAAATCAGTATTTGAGGTAAAACTTTGGAATGGTTCTTACTTTAACTATGACAGTGGGTCAAGCAGCAACAGTAGATCAATCCAAGCTGATCAACTGGCTGGGCAATGGTATACGGCATCCTCAGGCTTGCCTGATCTTTTCGATGATTTTAAGATCCGAAGCTCTCTCCAGAAAATATACGATTTCAATGTTATGAAAGTAAGGGGAGGTAGAATGGGTGCTGTAAATGGTATGCATCCCAGTGGGAAGGTTGATGAGACTTGCATGCAGTCACGTGAAATATGGACTGGAGTCACCTATGCTGTCGCAGCAAACATGATCCTTGCTGGGATGGAGGAACAGGCTTTTACTACAGCTGAAGGCATATTCATTGCTGGCTGGTCAGAGGAGGGATATGGGTAAGTTATATGCATATGATTTTTTAAAATATATAATTAAGTATGCAGAATCTTCTTGTGTTTCTTATGAATTTTTTGATTGGAATTATCCAGCAAATTTGTGCAATAAATATGATTTATGAGCATTTTAAAAACTAAATACATTCCATAGAACACTGTTCCTTAGATGATTCATTGTCCATAGCTTTAAAAATCAGAATACATTTTTTATGGGTATTCTGTATTTGAAAGGGATGGTACCAGGAAAAAATAATTCTTGGAAACATGTTAAAAATGCCTGGAAGGTGAATACCTTTCATAAAAAAAAATTAAAAAAATTAAAAAAATTGCTTGAAGGTGAAGCCATTTTTCGTAAGCATCATACTGGAGTTCTTTGTTTTTTGTTGGAGCGAGAGAACTTGGTTGAGGTGATGATTCTTTTCATTTCAGCAATGATTGATGATTGGTGAATCCACACCTTTATATGTGATTTATTTCGTTTGCTTGTAATAAAACTTTCCGGATATATATCTTTTTATATTAATTTATTTTTTCTGCTATGTACAGGTACTCATTTCAGACTCCAGAGGCATGGACCATTGATGGGCACTTCCGGTCCCTATTATATATGAGGCCACTTGCAATTTGGGGAATGCAATATGCATTATCCTTGCCTAAGGCTATTCTTGAGGCCCCTAAGATTAACATAATGGACAGAATCGACATATCTCCTCACATTACAAGATCTTCTCAGAGTGACGCAGGTGTTAGAAAGATCCCGACAAAAGCACGTTGCTTTAGCAATTCCGTGTTTCAGTGTGCATGCTGACTATCACATGTAAGTTCTTGATCGGTGTAGAGCTTTGTTCATTAAATGTATGTTTGCTTCCTCAAACCCTCTTAAGGTATAAGGAAAATGCTGAAAAGAGGTTTGAGGGAAGTTTTCTTCCAGAGACAGGTAATAAAAGTCTGGATGTAACCTAGCTATTCTAAGTTAGATATAAGATAATAGGACTTTCATGTCCTTTTAAAAGAGATTTTGCACAGAATATGATTTTGAAAATTCATTCATTACTTCATTTGTATCAATATAGTCCAAATCCTTAAATCTGGGTGCAGTAAATGGATTTTAACAATTAGAAGCGTAATGAAGTCGAAAAGGTTGGGTTGTGACTTGTAATGCAGTAGAAGAGGTTGGGTTGTGACTTGTAATACTTTGGTTGAGATGCAAAATCTAGGACATGTCTTCGTTTTTTGGTCAGTCAAAATCCGGAACATATCACTAAGTCATTATGTTGTAAAATGTTGGGCTCAGTAGACAGTAGAATTGTTGCATCAAAATATGAACTTGCTTTTATACTTGGTGAACATTTCAGAAATTGTGGGAAGCATTTCTGCTGAATTTCAAATGTGGCAGAAATGTGATCGAGCAGCACTATCATTAGCCATGACAAAATTGTTCATAGGAGCTTGGAATTGAATTTGCTGTGGTTCTTGTAACATTTTCGTGTTTTTTTATTATTGGTTTTGTATGATGGAAAACTTGTAGCAAAATGAAATAGGAAAACAGGAGTAAAACAACTGTGACTACAAGCTGTTATAAGATTCCGAGTGTTCTGTTTTCCTCTTTTTTTAGTGTGAATATTGCATTTCGCAAAGCTTTAATGTATTTTATTAATACATTTTCATCTGATTCCGTTTGTACTTTCTGTTTGTCGAGATTTTGATTTGTTATTATCAGTACTTCTGTTTTTGTGTTGGTTGACATTATTTCTTTGAAACGTGTCCTTGAATTCCACTTAAAAGCGCTGGAAATATTTTATAGGTCTGTTATTGAATGATGGAGTGGCTCCCTCCAAATTGATGTCAAGCTGCATGTCTAAGCAGTTAATGAGATCCAGAGACTCATAAAATTTCACTCTTCAACTCTGATGTCAGGTTATATACCCTTGTTTTACCCTAAAATCTCTACTCCATAGGTCGAACACGCTTCTTTTCCGGTCTGGACATTGCCACTAGGCTCTGCTCTTTTTCCACATAATCAGCATCACCTCTTTTCTTGTCAAACAATATTCTGCTTTTGATACTTATTGTAGCATCTACCTAAAAGCTAAATTTTGTTCACTGTACCATGAACGAAGATTTGAGGGAATAGGTCGGATTGTCGGAACATTTGCAAAAGCCGATGAACAGCTTTTCTTTTTTATTTGGGTTTTTTTTCCTCAACATTTGCCGAAATATAAAACTTGGTATTTCTATGTTGACCAAGCATCTGCATGGTTGCGTGGGACTCTTGTTAGGAAGAAAGAAAACACATAAATAAATAAATCATGCATATCAAAATATTCGGGAAAAAATATTTGAAAGTCTTTTCTAGCCCAGAGGATAGCTCTGCAATCTAAAGTGCAAGTGGGTTGATGAAATGCTGTGGTTTGCAAGCTTTTGGTGCCCTGGGGGTTAACTTAATTTGGTTTCAGATACCAGATTTTTGCATGCTAATTATGCTGGTGCAGGTATATCCTTTGTGAATTAACAAGTATTAGAAAAGTGGGCACTCATCGTCTATACCTTTCATGCTTGCAAGTCCATGCCCATAATGCGAAGACACAGTAAAAGAAAATAAAAATATGCTCGGGTTTGTTTGGTTTGCGTTTTGTTTTTGGTGTTTTTGTTTTTGTTGAATAATGTAGGAGTGAAGAGTGAAAACAACGCTTTTGTATAGTGTTGAAACGTTTCGGGAATAGTGGCTAAAATTTAATACATCATGTAGCAGTGAACAGTGAAAACAATGCACTGTTTTGCTTTGTACATTGCTGAAACGTTTTGTGAATGGTGACCAAAAGTTAAAACACCAATTTGGTGTTTTTCCATGTTGCACGTTAGCAACGGCAACTGTAATAATGAATGAACATTATTTTAAAAATAAAAAATAAAAAATAAATTGAAAAAACTAAAAAATGACCTTTTTAAACTAGTTATTATGTATATTTTTTTAAAACTTGCAATACTTTTTTAATAAACATATTTTTATATTTTTATTTTTAAAAATTTTACAATGGATAGATATTACCAAATATGTTTTTGATTACTATTTAAAAGATCATACAACAAAACATTTGTATTGTTTTGGATTAAAACAAAAACGCAAAAATATAACTTATGCTAGGCTCTTACTTCATGGTTTGTTTAGATTGGATCGATTTTTTCCCTTACTAAATCAATCTTAACTGTTCGTTTTGATCATGATGAAAAAGGGTTGCAGCAAACTATCATTTACGGAACTCATTGTTTCATTCCAATGAGTTGACGCGCTATTTGATAAGAAAATCTTAATTGCTAAAGTTTATTATATATATACATCTTTTTGAATTTTAAGTATTGAGCACTTTCTATTAATTAAAAATTTATTTCATATTAAGCAACGTTGAAATTACATTATTAAATATACTTAATTTACTTCGTGGTTGGCCAATTTGAGGAGTGGTTTGCACATAGCAAGAGAAGCTACATGGTTCGCCAATTGTGTAATCTGGTTATGTAATGAGGTGGGTGAGGAACAAAACAAAAGCGAACTATGATGTCAAACATTTTTGGACCAAGGCTACCCTACTTTGTGCTTATCATTGGCCACAAAAGGCGACCCTGAAAGCTCTCTCGCATTGTGGCCTTAGCCCAACCATATTGGCTTTAGAACTTGCGAATTATAGATATCGACGGACATTACTACCATCTACCATGATTAGGTCTTCACGAATTATATATCTCATATTATATATATATTTATATGACACTAACAACAACGGCTATCTTAAGAGAAGTAATCTATTCTTCAATCCGTACGTAGGGAGTGAGCAAAATAGATTTTTTTTCGAAAATTGAAGCAAGTATATATATATATTACATTACATTAATGGACATGGTATCCAACCTAAATAGACGGGACCAATAGATTTATTTGGGTGGGCCATTATCCTTGGATTGGGTTATAATCCAACCCACCCGGGACTATGTGGCTGTAGTTCTCTCACCTTCCTATTCTCTCTTTATCTTCGCTTCCATCACTTTTTTTTCCAAACTCATAAATTACAAATCCGAAGTTCTCTTTGTCTCTCGCTTCCATCACTTTTTTTCCACTCATAAAATATCATTCTGAACTAAAATACTCTAGTTCTTTCCCACACATCTCTTGCAAAATCATAGAAGACTCTAAAACTAAGCATTGCATATACCTTGCATTGCACCCATTAATTGCTCTTGTTAAATGAGAATTTGCAGCATACATTCAGCTCTATATACAAAGGCTTTCTACTCGTTTATCTAATTTCTTTAACAATGATCTATGATATTCTCACTCCATAGAATTCTAACAATCTACAAATTTGAAGAACACTACATAACTTCTACCCATTAATCCCACAAATATCATTCTGAACTAAAATACTCTAGTTCTTTCCCACACATCTCTCTACAAAATCATAGAAGACTCTAAAACCAAGCATTGCATACACCTTGCATTGCACTAGAATAAAAACTCATGGTAGGTTTTTGTAGGTACATTTTATTTAGTTTGGAGAGTTTTGATTCGTGTAAGCCTCATGATTATATGTTAGACTTTTATTTTTGAATAGGTGGATCAATTGAATTGTCTTTTTCCATTCCTTGTTATTCTTATTATATCCAAGTCTTATATTTATAGATAATTATATCCATAAAATTTGTTGAGGACGCATTTATTTATTTATTTTTTCTCCTTTTATCTTGGTTACTAATGCATTGACGTGGTTTTATAATCATATATTTGGACTACTTATTACACAAACATACGTATTTCTTTGTTATACTTTCTTACAATAAATGGATGGGTGCATTTAATTGTTGTTGACCATTACTTTTTTTTCATCCCTAAAAATCCAATTACTCTCAACCTAATTAATGCTAAGGTGTTAAATAAATTTAGTATCATATATTTTGTTTTAATATATTTTATAATCAGTAATGTGTTCAAAGGAAGGCCATAACTTTTGGCCCCCAACGTGTCAACTTTTTTCTCTCCGGTTCTTAATTGACCACACAAAATGGGTAGTCGGTCGGTCCATATTCGATGCATTTGAAGTCTTCCATATAATTTTATAGGCTTTGTTTTCACTTTTTATTTAATTTCTGTGTGACATCATGACTGTCAAAGTGTTGGACCAGCTTAATATTATTTTCTTGCAAGAGCTAGCATGACACATGTACAAGGGAATATTCCTGGAATATTTGTCAACTTCGTAAGAGACTGCTAGTACAAGAGTTTTGACCAACATCACCCAAATTCAAATCCAATAGGCTAATAGGTTATTGAGGAACGTTCACGGCGCGATGAAGTTGGTAGAGTGTCAAATTTTTTTGTACAGTGTTTATGTTCGGTTTTTTCTTATCTAATTTTTTTAAAAAAATAATAATAATAAAAAAGACTAATTAATTATAGTTTTATTTATATTTTAAGCTAATTTTTTATTATAAAAAATGTCTTATTATTGGAGAATCTCACTCATACTAGTCTCATGACAAGGGTAAGATTTAAGTTGCACACTTGCGCAACAGGTACACTAAATATGATTCGTCTAGACATTGATAATTCGTCTTATAATTCAGCTGCATTACGCGAAAACATTAAGAAATTTAGGTACATTGGTCACATTTTTATCTTAAGAACCTTTTAGGTATTTTAGTTTTCAAATTGATAAAATGTTCTGTGCTCAAATTTGGAAAATGTAGATTTTTTTTTTTTTTTTTTTTTTTTTAACACCATGAGAATATTTGCACATGCTGTATATAACAAAAAAAAAAACAAAAAAAAAAAAAATTCTTTCACTTTACCTTCTTTATTTTGACAAATAATATAAACACTTTATTTGCTCTAATAAGGATTTGAAATATTTTACTTTAGAAGATGAAAAAGTACTATTAGCTATTGTCTTTGGTGATTAATTGAACATAATTTGGTATACTCCTTTCAAAGGTATTTATAATTACAATGATTGTTTTTCAAATTGAGTAGTTTTTTAATTTCTTTATTTTTCATTAAGAATAGTAAATAGTTAAATGAATTTTCTAACCATGTTACGTTTTTCTATTTCTTTGAGAATATAAAAATGGTATTAAAATAAATAAAAAAAAAAAAAAACGTCTTCTTCTATCCTCTTTCTATTTCTATTTCTTAGTTCCGAAAAGTCTAGAGTTGGAGAATTGGAGGAGAAGAAACTTACAGAAGTTAGATATCAAGGAGGTGAGTTTTTTTGGAATCGTTCAGTTAGTTGGGTACTAAAATATGTGACCATGACTTGGTAAAAGCTAAACAACGAGACTTTGAAGAGTTCAAACCGTTCAATGTAAAACAGTGAAAACGAGTGGATGGTCAAATTTGAAGGGGTTGATGGTAAATGTGGATGTCAATAGGTGGCTAAGGCCCTCTGCTTTGACATGTAAACATCAACTTTTTAAAAAGAGAAGCAAATTTCTTGTACTCTTCTAGAATATCAGTTCCATTCACATCATAATCATAATGTATCATGTGTACACCTTCAAGACCACTACTCAAGCGACTTCTTCGTTTGTTTGAATGCAAGAAAAAATCTATAAGAAAATGATTTGGAGTCCAATTTAAATTAATTTAAATTTCACCATAGTTCGAATCATTTGGAGTCCAATTTAAATTAATTTAAATTTCACCATAGTTCGAATCATTTATCGTTACGTAAGATATGGTTTCACAGATTAATTAATTTTATTTATTCAAATGCGTATTAACACTAATCAGCTCATTTTATGAGAATTGAGAGTCAAAATAGAGAACCAATCAAAATATCTTAAATTAATTATTTAACACCATCATTTGAAGAAAAGTCGAAATTAAAATTTATTATTTAAATACAAATGTATCTATTTATGGTTGCTAAAGTAGGTTTGCAAAAAAAATTATGTGTGACCCCTTTCAAAATTCAGTGAACCCTTTTTTATCTTATTTTAAAACATTCAAATATAATGAAAAAGTGATAATTATTATTGTAATCTTATTAGTACTCTATTCATATGTGTGTATATTTATAGATATTATTTGTCATGAATTTAAGCTGGATACTTAAACAACCTCGATTTTCAATTGTCAATCCTTCTTCTCCCTATTTTACGAATGTGTTCTTAAAAATATACATTAGAAATTGCATTAAAAAAAAAACTGTTACAACTATTTTATTTTATTACTAAAGTTTAATTTTAAATAAATATTTCTGGCTGGGGTCCATATCAATATGATTTTTGTTTTTTTTCATAAATACTTATGTATATATATAAAAGTAGGAAATGACTAAATCACACAATCCTCCGCAACGGTTGTCGCTCTCTCGCTCTGCGCTCGCTTTCACTTCCATTACCACTATTTGTGATTTAATTTTGTTGTTTTCGCGCTCTTGCTCTCGAATTTGATTTGGCTCCCGTCCCGCTTTATGTGATTTAAAGCATCTCCAACCCACCTGCTATATGAGTTGCCAATTCAAAATATAGCAGGTGAGTTAAAATTGAGCCCTCCAATGGGCTGCTATATCACCTGTCAAATTTTGTCTTTACTATTTTTTGTGCCAAATATAATAAAACAAATAGCAATAGTTATTTGCCTTTTTTGTTGCTTGCCGTCTCTCTCTCTCTGCCAAACTCTCTCTCTTCAATGGCAGGAACCGGTGCCTTCTGCTTCTCCACTCTTTCTTCTTCTCTCACTTCTACTTCTTCGCCCTCAATCGCTTTCTTCCTTCGTCCATTTTAGAGCAAAAGCTTCCAATTCCGGCAATTTCCTCGGCGATGATCCGTTTGGATTCTATATATACATATATTTAAAAAAGATCATAAAAAATTTCACCAAATAGGATTTAGTTTGCAAAACAAGAATTACAGACCTTGATTAGTTGATTTAGAAAAAAAAATTAAAACAAAACCCATACGTACAAGTTAGTAGTTGCAGAGAGATAGAAGGGGCAAGCTTGAGAGTTGAGAGACAACGGCTGAAGCTTGCGAACGGCGAACCCGAACTGGAACAGCAAGCGATGGAAACTGAAAGATATGGGTTTGCGCCGGGGGGGGGGGGGGGGAGATGGAGGCCGAAATGATTTGCCCTAAAACTATATATGGCGATTTGGGAGGCTGAAATGATTTTCCCTAAATATATATATATACTTTTAATAATAATATAATCAGATATATATAATATACATATATATATATATTTGATTATATTATTATATAATTTTTTTTTCTTTTTCGGAAATTTATATTATATATATATATATATATATATATATATTTGAGTCCTTTTTTGACCAGATATTTTAGATTTTAGATTTTTTTTAATTAAGTTTAATTTTAGTTTCCTTCTGATGTCTACAACTTGACTTGAAATGTGCCTAATATTAACATTACTGATGCAAATATGAATGGTGAGAATGGTAGTTGAAAAATAATAGTGATTGTGTAAAAAAAAAATAATATTTTGCACAAAATGCATTATTGGAGTATAATTGCAAAAATATAGTATTTTGATACTGTAACACTGTCAAAATATAGATTTGGTATCCGAATTTATCATTTTACCCTTAGAGATGCTCTTAGGAAAATGATACTCTATCTAGTAAAGTGTGTGTAGTTTATTTATTTTTCTCGGTAAATAGTGTGTGAATATTATTTATTTATTTATTTATTTTTTCAGATGCGAAAAGCGAGAAATATAGACCTGGACCTGTAGATCACCACCCAAATGTCATGCATTTTGAATGCAGCGTGAAAGACCCGAAAGGCAAGTGAAAGTCCTTCCTTCAACCCATCTTCCTTTCAAATCCCCCATTGTAGACCAGACCTAGTGTTCAATAATAAATAATACTAGTCAATTCATCATATATATAATAACCATATATATATATATATATATGTCTCTATTTGTAATTATATAGTACAATCTTCTCAATATATAAAGTATAAACATACATACAAGCCCGTCCTATTCGTTTGATTGTATCGTTCCTGTTTTTCTCATAAACCATTCTCTTTTCTCCTCTCTTCAGAACCCTAGAAGCAAAACCCTATCGGTGACTCTGTACCGTACTTACTTCGTGATCTTCAAGTTTAGGGAGGTACACTCAACACTCAATTCCATTTGATTTTGATTCTTTTCTTCGTTTATTATTATTATTATTTTTACTGAGAATCTGTATGGGAAAATATTGTAAAGAAATTGATACGGTTTGCTTATCGGAGAAAATGATTCAAATTGATTGAGTTTTGAGCAATCAGCTCTTGAAAATTCCAATATTCTTAACTTCGTCTCAGCTGAGATTTTCAAAACTACTTGAATTAATTGTGTTCAATATTCAATAACATCTATCCGATTTTTTTCTTTGACAAATGGAATAAATGGAAGAAAATATATCTTTTTATTGTTTATTTTGCTAATACTTTGTTTGTTTTGTTGGTTTAGTTTGATAATTATGGCCAGGAAGATGCTAATTGACGGGGAACTAAGCAAATCCGGCGAAGAAGAGGCGCACTTTGATTTCGATTTGTTTGTGATTGGTGCCGGAAGCGGCGGTGTCCGTGCGGCCAGATTTTCTGCTCAGTCTGGAGCTAAGGTAACACACTCTGAATTTTAATATATAGCGTATGTATGGTTGTGTGTAAAATGGTGTGCCAATCTATGCTATACCTTTGTGATAATAATAACCAGTATCCCAAGCTACAAATTTACAGCCTAATTCTTTACATTTTCTTGAATCTGGTCTCTCTGGCATCATGCCTCTGATCCAAGCTTGCGATGCTTTTAAATTTTTGTCAATTTCGAATATTTATTTGCCTGTTCACTACCATCACCTAGTGTGAAACTAATATAGATGAGAAAAAATTGTAAATGGAGAGTTTTCTTCAAATGCAGCTGAAAAGTTTCTTTATGCAATTGTTTAGGTGTCAGTGTGTCCTTGTTAATTGAGGATGTTGGGATGGGTGTATGTTCTCACTTAGTGGTGAAACTAGTACTCCTATGTATTAGAAAAATTATACTCAAGAGTGTTCTTCAATTGCACTTGCAAAGGCTCTTTAAAGTTAATGCAATCGTGTAGGCCATTACCCTGTGCGTCTTCTATAATCAAGGGTGTTGGAATGAGTAAACTGTGTACAGTTAATAGACCTAATTGTTGGCATTATTGAGACTCAAACCTGATTGATGCTTAATGCATGTTTCAAATGAGCTTGAAAGATAAAAAAGTAGCAGGGAAAAAAAAATTACTGAAAAGCCACAGTATAACTCAATTCCCATTTCTGTTTGGTGGTGAATTTGGTGATCAGCGGTTAGCATGACCAAGATAGAAAAAATATTGGTTTAATTTTAATCCCATTTTAGTCTTCTTCTTAAGCCACTGGAAATGTTGGTTATGTTTAAAGTACTATTTTTATTTAATTATAATGCAGAGCTCAATTTATTAATTAAAAAAATTCAGTATGTAGTACGGTCAATTTTCATACAATCTAATTTGCATTAATGGTTAGCACATTGATATCTTTTTCATTTATATTATTTTGGAGTATTGATGTGCCAACTGTAGTTAGTGTACTCTCTAAATGCCTAAATATGTTTTGATTTCGTTAACTATAAATTTTAGTAAATCTTTTGTAATAGTTGACTCATGATGTTATTTTTATTTTTATTTTCATTTGTTTTACTCACTGCACTAGTTGTCAGTTATTTTATTTTACTGAATAATTTGAAATTGATGTTGCAAGGTTGGGATCTGTGAACTTCCATTTCATCCAATCAGTTCAGAAGTCATTGGAGGAATTGGCGGAACGTAAGTTTGTTGTAATTTGTTAATTCTTTGAAATCTATTTGGTGGTGTTCTCCTCTTTTTTGACCTTTTTATTAGTCTTAACATCAACACCGTATTTGGGGAGTTTCACCTCTTATGGAGTGTCTAGTTGAATATTTTACTAATAGGGAATACTTTGAGATGGGTAAGATATGAAGTGTCTGGCTTATATTCTTTTATTAGCATAGAGTGGCCTATATTGAATGGTTATTGTATATACCATCTGGATGTTGTCAGTTTCTTGGATGTTGGATAATGTTGGGTTTGTTTATGTTTTTTTTTTTTTTTGTTGCTTGAGTGGTAAGACCGTAAGTCGGACTGAAGTAAGTATGGGTGTTCTGAAAAACTCATCAGCGAGTGGTACGGTGTGGTGGAACGGAAGACTCTTTTAAAATTTTTGCTCCTTTCGTGGAGGCTCAAAGTTGTAGTTTTAGTTATTTGATTTGCAGCAAGTAGTCCTACCAATGAAGTTTTTATTTTATTTTGTTATATATATATATATATATATATTTTTTTTTTTGTTTTCTCGACTCTCTGCGTTTTAGTCGTTCTTTGCCACTGTTGCGCTGCTGCATAATCGTGTACTTAGATTTTGACCCTTTTCCTTTAAATAAACATTTGATCATTCATGAGAATAGCTGTTGAAAAATTATATATATAAAAGTTGAAGTATAAGTTTATTTAAATCACAAGAAACAAAATTGGGATTGCTTCTCAAATTCTAGAGCACTAAACTAGAAATTGTTGTTAGCGAATTACGTTTTGGGTATGGTAACATATGGGTATGTGACTAGGGTTGTAGGCCACTGATATTTGCTCTACCTTGTAAAGTGGTAGGTTGGGGGATCAAGCCCCTAGGGGCAACGAGTGTGTGTTATTTGCCAAGAGAAAAAGGAAAAAAAAAAAAAAAGGGTTTATGATATATCTCTTTTCTCTATTCATTGTTCAAATATTGTGTGTTTTTAAAATGGAAATATTATTAATATGGTTATTGATTGCACCTGGGTTGCAATAATTACTCACTATTGTGGCATATAACATATAGATTTGGCATCAATAATGAATCTCCATTCAAAAAAACTGGCATGGTTCTAAACCTGTCCGCATAATCCAGTCCCAACTTCTATGCTCCAAACTTTTTTAACCCTGAAAGAAATGGAGAAGATAACTATTTTTGCTCCAAACATCAATATTTCTAATGAAGGTGCCTTTTGACACAGTTATGAACTTATGATTTATTGACTGGTGATTCCAGCACGAGGTTTGAACAAAATGGGTTCCAGTGGGATTGAAAATCAAATGATACTACAGCTCCAATCATGCCTTTGACAACCCTGGCATGCCTGCATTTTATGTAGTCGTTATTTTGCTGGAGAATAATTGGACAAGAAAGATATAACAATTAAGCAAGAAGGAATGAAAATGTAAATGTGAGGAAAATTTGATTATGCTCTATGGAAAGAAATCAATATTATGAAGTGTATAGCACGTTTTGGCAATTCTTTCCGTAAAAAGGAAAAGAAACATGATAATTTACTAAATAAATTGCTAGGACTATAGTTAAGCATTAAAATTTTGAATTGTGGTACGTACAAATATGAGTTCGAAATTAAATGGAGCAGTCATTGATTGTAGCAATATGCCGAAATGTTTCTGCATGATTATTTTCCTGCATACGGGGAATATGTGAATCACCTTTCTGATTTCATCTGGCAACTATGATATGACTTACTTACAAAATGTCAATCAATTGCATATGAGTGTCCTCCGCTGCCTTTTGTTGAAATAGTATAAATATCTATTGACTGATAGCCCAAATGTACAAGAATTACTCAGTTTGTATTGTTATCTTGCATATTGTAGTTTGTGCTAATGACTGATATCTATCTAGTAGATTATAATGAATGTGGGAAGCTTGAGAGTGACTTCCATGGTGGTGATTCTATTTGTTATATATGAAAATAGTAATGAACTGAGAACGGAATTCCTTATTGGTCAAATTTTTTTTATGTCTTGCAGGTGTGTCATTCGCGGTTGTGTTCCCAAAAAGATTTTGGTCTACGGTGCATCTTTTAAGGCTGAGCTTGAGGTGAAATTATCATAAAGAAGTTTTGTGGTCACTTTTTCTCATTTTAATAGTTGGAAGATATTTTTATCAGATCAAGGAAGAAGGTTTTGAAATAAAAACACCCTCTCTAGTGAGAGTTTTCTTACACATGCAAGTCTGCGTCTATCTTGACACATGCATATCATTAATTAAAAGTTAAAATTAGCTTAATTGTTATCAAACTTAATTAATTCTATTTCCATAGAATGATGTTTGATTGGAAGCTTTTGGCATGGCCTGGAGCAATGTTACATGGACTCTTCAAAAGTAGTGAAGTACTCATATTGGACACACACTGCTCAGACGTGGGTATGGGATATGCGTCTTGACACTTTGGGTCGGACATGTACCTAAAAAGCAAAAAGAGTGAAAGGCCTATATTAAACACTATGTTGATAAAGAAATTATTTTGCTCTAGATTAAAATAAAAATATTATATAGAATGAATATTTTAGCAATGTCCGTGTGTCTTGTTTGGGACACGTCCCCGTACCAACATGTGTACCCAAGTCCATCTAACACAGGCCTGGAGGTTTGATTTTTATTGTAGTTTGTGTTATCGAAATTGTTTAGTTAGATTTAAAAATCTTGAATTCTGTTTCGGTGGCAGCTTTTTGTGTGAATAAATCTGGAGATTAGGTCTATACCTGGTTGGCAATCCTAGCATCCCATATTGATGGGACCTACTCTAAATAAAACCTTTTATATTTCAAATATTGTTGATAACCGGGTGGTAGAAGTTTTTATAGTTGAAAGAAAAAAAGCCTTAAATTGCTCAACTGTTTCTAATTGTATCAAATTATGTGACCAACATATTCCTATCATTTAAATATGTCTTGTTGGGAGAGGATTTTAGTGCCATATGTTTTGGGATAAACATTGCAATAGAACCTACTTGAGCATCCCAAGAAAGGATGTGGTGGGCTTTAGAAAAGTTTGCGATGGTTTCTGTTGTCATCCCTGTTTTATTTGTATTTTAGTTTGTATTGCTGTACATGTTTGGCATTTAGTTCAAACTGGTACTTATGCTTTGGCAATAGAATGCCATAATTGCGATAAATTTAGTTTATATTGTTATCTGAAATTGTGTATGTATGTTTGGCTTCAATTTTGTAGGATGCCAGGAATTTTGGGTGGGAATTGAATGAGAGAATTGATTTCAATTGGAAAAAACTTCTGCATAAAAAGGTTAGTGTTAATTTTCTTATTCGTTTTCTTGATGTATCGGTTTGAATTATGACTCTTGTCATTCGGATCTCATATTCTCACGTGACTCCCACGATAGCATCATTCTGAGAAGAAGTGTTATGAAAGGAATGAAACAGATGCAGACTAGTGACTTATCTATTTATCTTTTATTCTTGTGATGGTGGTAATATTAAACTTACTTTGGAAAAAGTCAAGAATCAATCTCGGGTAAAGCCATTTGTCAAATATAGTTTTGATTCCAGTTGTTATTTCAAGCTACGGAAATCGTGCAAGAAAGTGGACTAAGCATGACCATAAAGAAAAAAAGACATATTTATATTTAAATGAGATATGAGTGATTCACATCCTTCTTTTTATATTGTTCTTTCTCTTAGTAAATTCAATTTTTCAGGAAAAGAAAAAAGTTCTGGTCAAAATTTTCTGTTAGATATGTATAAGAACCTGGATGCAGTGAATAATGGGTAAGGAATGTCGCATTAATGCCCATGGGATAAAAAGTGGATAAGATATCTCTGCTACTTTGGATAAGTGACATAGAAATGGAGTGCGAAAAATGATAGATAAGAATTTGAAGAAGTTATAACTGTTACTAAAATGAGGACAGCACAATATTACAAGAACTTATATTATTAAAAATTGTCTTGCCCTACACGAATGTGATGGGATACTCTTAACATCACTGCGGCATTGCTCTTTAGCTTTCATGACAGCATTGCCTGGCCATTTTGTTTTGGGAAGGAACTACCAAACTGCCAAACTGGTGGTTCTGAAAAATATTTGGACATTTAGTGGCAGTAATTGGTAGGATTACTTCACTCAGCAGTTATAAGCAATTTAAAACTCTTAAATGAACTCTGTAATGTTTAGGAATTTGACAGTCTCAGTTTTATCTTCAATCTTTTTCTTTCTAAAGATGTTTGTATGGATTATTGTATATTAAAAAACTGTACTTCTAGAAAGGGTCATCACCCAGTTTGGTCCCCATTAACCCCGGGTGTTAGGAGGGTGGACTGGATACAGATCTATAACCTTTAGCACTGTTTGCACAAAGTGTCTGCTCTCAGTATTTCCCTCTGTATTTCTATAGTGACGAACAATACATACCTTCATGTAGGCTTCAATACTCTTTTGTTAGATAATTTCTGCCCTTTTTCCATTTAAACTCATCTTAGATATTATTCATTACTTATTCGTTAAGTCATTTTAATTAATTGAAATAGAAATGCAGAGTTTGTTATATAATTTACTCTCTTTTTTGTTTTTTTTTTTGTTTTTGATCTTTTTACAATATTGCAGACAGAAGAAATAGTGAGGTTAAATGGAATATACAAGCGATTACTTTCCAATGCTGGGGTTAAAATGTATGAAGGAGAGGGAAAGACAGTTGGTCCTAATGAAGTTGAGGTGACACAACTTGATGGCACTAAAATATGCTATTCAGCAAAGCACATATTGATTGCAACTGGCAGTAGGGCTCAACGTCCAGCTATTCCAGGACAGGTTGGTATTCTGGTTTGTTCCAATGTGTTGAAAAGGTATTGACTTGTTTGGTTTAGTTTTCTAAAAACAGCTTTAAGAACTCAAAAAATAGAAAACTGTTAGAGAATTGAAAACAGAAACTGTGAACCAGCAGATTTTTGTACACTTCTCCCATTTTCAGTTCTCAGAAAACTGTTCAAAACTGAACCAAAAAGGCCCTATTACCCTGAATAACTTGAAACAAGTCTTGCCTTCAAAACTACTTCATTTACAATATAATTATCATATATATATATATATATATTTTTTTTTTTTCTTCTCTCTATTTACAACTCTGTATTTCTCCCTTTTCACATTTTAGGAGTTGGCTATAACCTCTGATGAGGCTTTGAGCTTGGAAGAGTTACCCAGGCGTGTTGTGATACTTGGGGGAGGGTATGCGTCTTTTTAATGTCTATAATAATTCTCCATGTTAAGCAGACTTATTATAATAATTCTGTCAGACTTTGATACGAATTTTCTTCTGTTTTTAGGTACATTGCTGTAGAGTTTGCTTCAATATGGTGTGGGATGGGTGCTACAGTGGATCTATTTTTCAGAAAGGAACTTCCATTAAGGTTAATAGTTTGAATTATGTTTACATCTTTGGATTGTTTGGCAGTTTGGTCAACAAAATAATGTTTCTAGGATGTAAACCTATATCTTTTTTCATTTTAGTTTTCATTGCAAATTTCGACAGTCCCAATCACATCGATTGCATTATATTATAAGTTCCAAGTGAAAGTATAGATTCTTTTATTTCGTAGTAGGATCATATCGAATATAGATCTGATAAATAGAATGAAAAAGGGAAGAAGCTGAAACTTGTCCTTTCTTTCATTGTTAGAGACTTATTAGTTAGCCCTTCTCTTGCAATGTCACATGTTTTGTCTTAAAATTACCATGAAACTGCTTCAACTCAACCTTTTTTGTGGTTATTCTGTTATTCCTCCAGTATGGAGCTATGGTATAAAATTGTGACATAGATGCATATCAATAGCCATAAATTATTGCTAAGACCCTTTTTTTCTGTGTCTCACAAAATTTGAAATCTCTGAAGCATATCTATATACCAATTGTCTTGAACCTCGATCAGGCATTAGGGCTTGATCAGAAATGATGCAGGAGTAGATCAAGCAAATTCACTATAATCTAATAAAATAGGAATTAGAAGACTGTTATTGCAACTGTCATGGTATTTTACCCATCTATTGGTGTGGTTAATTTCACAAGCTTCAGTTACAATCTTATAAATCATTATTCGATCCATATGGACATCTTGTACGATATTTTTTGTTTAAGGATATGTGTTCCTATGTTTTCTGCCCAAGTCCTATACTTCTTGAAAGTTCTCCTGAATTTTATAAATTACCGGTGCATTGTGTCTAGTGAAAGTCAAAGCCATCCTTTTTTGTCTTTGGTTAATATAAAACAATAGATAGTGTGTCTAAATTTATTTCCACCACAAAACATGATTAGCCCTGGGCCAGTGAAACTCCACCAAAAGGACTGTTATTGACACAAAAAGAAGAGGGCCAAGATTTTGTGTTTGGACAACAGTAATACATATAGTGATTAGTGAACTTCCAGAGCGTCATTGTTTGTCACGCCTGTTAACTGTGAGGACGATCATCTCTTTGTGAAGGACTAGAAAATAGTCTACCCATTGTTTAGGTGGCACTCCCTTCAGTTGATTCCTTCAGCACTCTCCAAATTGAAAAGTATGTACTCCCGAGCTTGCAGATGCCTTGAAAAAAAAAAAAAAAAAAAAAAAAAAAAAAAAATATTGATAAAAAGATAAAGAAAAAAGAAATATGCCCGAGAGCCCCTCCTACCTTACTCGGGTGCTTCCATATGCCGTGATGTTGATAAGTTTGTCTTATTGTATATGTTGTATTTGCTTCTCTCCTTTTTTACCCCCTCTTTTTGGGAAGCTGGTTTTTAAGGGAATTTCTTGTCAGCCTAACTTTCTATTTTTAATCCAGTAGTTTTACTGATGCTGTTACCCTGTGAATCTTCTATTGCAGGGGTTTTGATGATGAAATGAGAGCAGTAGTTGCAAGAAATCTTGAAGCAAGGGGAATTAATCTGCATCCAAGGACAACCTTGACAGAGGTACTTCTGTTGACTTTCCCACAACATCTGTTTCTAGATTTTTTAATTTGTCGATTATCCATACATGAATATCTTTTATTATTTTCATATTTTACCGAGTTTAATGTTGATTTTGGTTATTCAGTTGGTTAAAACAGAAAATGGAATAAAAGTTGTCACAGACCATGGTGAAGAACTGATGGCTGATGCTGTTCTCTTTGCGACTGGTAATTTCAGACCTGTTCTATTTTTAACATACAGAAGTAAAGAATTTAGAATATCTTTGATATTTGTTTTGAGCTTGCATGAAGGATAGAGGCATGGTGATTACATCTGTTTGACTCTTATCAAACCGGCATTTTTTGTTTTTCAATGTTTGCTCTGTATCCTAATGGCTTGGATTATTTTTTTTGTTTTTAAAGCAGCACAATTAATATAACTAACCATTGTGTTACTACTCAACTTCAAGTCATATGGCAATTCTTCAAATGCTTGTCTTAGAGTGAGTCAGTCAGTTTCTTGAGATGCATCATGTAAATCCCCACTTCCCCCACTTCCAAGAGAATTGAGAGGACTCCTTAGGTTGGCTAGTGGAGCTTAGCAGGAAATTTGGTTTGAAGTCCTTTTAAAAATTCCTTGGTGGTGGGGCCGTATCGAGTTTCCTTGGTAAGAGAATTTGGTGTGTTAAATTGCTGTCCAATGTCTTCTTTTAATATGTTCTGCAGCTTTTTAGGCCGTATTGAGCATCGGTAATTTTGGGAAGTGTGATTTTTTTTCTGAATTTGTGCTGTATGTGTGAAAAGGTGAAGGCGTCGGTTAACCATATTTTACTGCATTATATTATAGGCTTGTGGTTAGATATCAAGGAGCTTGATTCGATCTAGTTTTGGGGCTCATGGAATTATACCATGCATGATTGCAGTTGTTGCAAACTTGCAATGTAGGCAAAGCGAACTGCATGGAAGAGGTCAAAATAAGCATGGATAGATGCGTTTCTTTGTCTTATGTGGGTTGCTTAGAGTGAGAGGAATAGGCCGCTTTAAGGATATGGAGATATTGATCCATAAAAGTCGAGTGCAATGGTTATACTCTTTCCTTTTTTGGTTTTTTGTGGACTTTGTGCTTTGTGGAGGGAAAGTTAATTTTGTTATATTCCTGTATGTAAACCTTGAAGATTTGCCAATAAACATTGTGATAATTTCTTTATATATTTATGTGTTCATATCAAAATTTTCAAGATGGTGACGGTTTTCTTTTGTTAATTACAGGCCGGATTCCAAACACAAAGAGGTTGAACTTGAAAGCTGTTGGTGTTGAACTGGACAATGTGGGAGCTGTGAAGGTTACTAGCCTTTTCCTCAACTCTTCTTCCATTTGTTGTTGTTGTTATGTATATGTATAGGGGGTGTTCTGAAATATGAACAAGGGGATGATGGGACTTATGCATCAATCTAAATGGGTTTAAGTGTTTCACTGTTCAGACCAGCTGGATTTAGGTTATATTTGGGTTCGGATGACAATTTTTCTAGTAGATGGGATGTCTAACTCAATTATTGACATGCCGGCAATTTTAACATGCCCATCTACGAATGGATTTCCTAACATGCCTGCAATTTTGTTGGCTGGTGGTAATTGACAACTAGGCTACCACTTGATCTTTTATTTTACCCTCTTATCTTTACCTCTCTCTTACACGTGCTTGCCTTGTGTGTAGGGATGGCAAAATACCCCGCCCCGCCCCGTTTTGAATGGTTATGGGGGTGGTTAAATGGTTTTGGGGTGTGGCTGGGGGATAGGATTGAAAACCCGCATGGTTATGGAGCGGGGATGGGGAAAGCCCACCCGTTTATAATGATAAATTACAATTTTGTCCTTATACTTTATTTTATATTCAATAATATTAGGTATATATTAAGCAAATCCCAGTTTATTCTATTCTAATCATTAAATATTCTTTTGTATTACTCTTATTTGAGAACTTCTATCTATTATTTTGATGTTCCAACAATAATTTTTGTCTTAAGTTTCAATTGAGAAGTTGAATCTTGTTTTTATCCGCATAAGAGAACAAGAATTATTATCATAATTGAAAATTTGTTTTATTATTTATTTTCATTAGATTCTTATTACAATTATGAAAATACTCTATAAAACCTGCCCCCGCCCCGCCTCACCCCGCCCAGCCCCGTTTAATAAACGGTTTTGGGGCGGGGATGGGGGTAGCTATTCTCAACGGGGATGGGATGGGGATGGCGTTCCCAGCCCCATTGCCATCCCTACTAATGTGTATATTATTGGATTTTGCAATTTCATATTTGAAACTCAGATTTCATTATTTTTTGTGAAGTTCAACAATTCGGTTCATTTTTTTTCCTTGGCAGGACCTTTATCCATTGGATATGTATATGTATATCTATATATATATATATATATAGAGAGAGAGAGAGAGAGAGAGAGTGTGTCTTTTAGCGTTAAATATTCCTATTTATCAGCTTTCAAAAAGAAATAAAAATAAATTCCTATTTATCAGTATTTCAGCACAATAGCTATTGTTTCTGACTGCTTTCTTCTTCAAATCCTTGTCTTGGCTGTTTTTCTTGTGATTTTTACTTTAAATAAGCTATATTGATTTCAGCATTAGTTCTTTATTCCTTTGTCTCCTAGCTACATTTATTCCAATTTAAATGGAGCTGTTTGAGTTGCGTGGATGCCAAATTTTGTCCTTTTGCTGTGCCATGTTCCTGCAAGTCTTGGTTTCCAGTTTGGTTCACTTAAAAATGATGTATGGTGGTGGTCGAGTGCTTGAAAATGGAACTGTGATTATTTTGGAGGCACAACAGGAGAAAAACTTTAATGCTCCAGGTGCAGTGATAACATAGCAAACACTAATTAAACACCGACACATAAGTAAGAATGCATCTATTTTAGTGAGTCCTATCAGTATTTGTAGATACTTAATTAGTGTGTGGTACCTTGTCATCACTCCACCTGGAGCATTTAAGTTTTTCTCCCACAACAGGGTGCAGAAGGCATCGATGGTCTCTGTAGGTCTTGTAGGTTCTCCATTAAGTTGTGTAAAGCTTTGGGCTATCTGGCTTTGGTGTTTTGGCATCCGCTATCTACTTTCTGTGCAGTGTTTTGTGGGAATTCTGGCGTTTTCTGGTCTTTCGGTTGAAAGGGTCCATGAAAGTACTTGATGCCTTTTTATTTAGTTTTTGTAAAGGTGATTGACTTTCTTTGATTGTGTGGCTTCATAAAGCACTATTGCAGTTAGAACAGTTAGTCTTGCAGCTGGAGTCATGAGACTCTTCAGGCAAGTTGATATTCATTTTCAGTGTTGGAAAACCTAGTAGGGTTTCAGTAAATAATCAGTGTGAGGTTATTTGAGGCTAGGTCGTGTAACAGAAAGTCCAAGTTAGGGTCCTTTACATTGTCTTTGATTTCCTTGGTTGATTTTTTGGGGTTGTTTTCTTAACGAGGTTGTTAATATATCACAACTGTTCAGTAACAATGCAGCAAAATGGTATATATTATTGTGAAAAAGTTTTTCAATCTTTGCAAGTTTATAATGTTTTTGAGGTTCCACAACATTTCCTACTCTTGCAGGTAGATGATTACTCGAGGACCAATGTACCTAGCATATGGGCCATTGGAGACGTTACAAATCGAATGAATCTTACTCCTGTGGCCTTGATGGAGGGAACATGTTTCGCAGTATGTGTTTCATCTGGATTTTCATTAACCATCATTATGGAATTGCCCTTCTTACTTCGTTAAGCACTATATGGCTATAGCAAATTGATGCTTTCAATTCTTTTGTAATGCCTGCAGAAAACTGTTTTTGGTGGGCAGCCTTGCAAAGCTGACTACAGCAATATACCTTGCGCTGTGTTCTGGTATCAGTTTCCCCCCTTCTGATACATGCCTTTTCTTAATTTTTTCCCACCATGTTATAAATTTTTTGTCAGAATTCTACATCAATGTAGTTAAATTTTTTTATATTGATGATAGTTCTACAAATTGTTAGAGATTGTGAAAAAATCACATTTAACTCACTTATCACCCTTCTAGGATATGTGTGTTTTTATTTATTTATTTATTTTTTTTTTTTATTTCTGGATTCTGAATTTGTAGTCAAACTCACACATCTTTTTGGCTTACAATAGTTTATATATATATATATATATATATATATATATTCATTTTAGTGCGACATAGACCTCTCTTAATGATGGACTACCTTGCATGGATTAGCTTATGTACTCTCATTATTCTATCTGTAATTCCTATTTAAAAATTTTAATCCTCAAAGATAGGGTTCGGTTATGTGATGATAAAACCAGCGGGCCAGTGGCCTAGCGGTATTCGGCCCTTACTTTCCAAAGGGAGGTCAAGGGTTCAAGTCTCAGTGGAGGCATGTGTGTGTGAGTACCAACTAGGGAAAAAAAAAAAAAAAAGTGAGACTGGCCCCTCTGTGTGCGGCGGTGCGCGCACGCTTGCATGGATTAGCTTATGTACTCTCATTATTCGATCTGTAATTCCTATTTAAAAATTTTAATCCTCAAAGATAGGGTTCGGTTATGTGATGATAAAACCAACGGGCCAGTGGCCTAGCGGTATCCGGCCCTTACTTTCCAAAGGGAGGTCAAGGATTCAAGTCTCAGTAGAGGCATGTGTGTGTGAGTACCAACTAGGAAAAAAAAAATAATGTGAGACTGGCCCCTCTGTGTGTGCGCGCACTCGCACAGGCACTAATCCAGTTGAATCATGAAGCTAATACAACAAGTGCATGTCTGTATTGTTTTATGGTCATCTTTTCTCTTTTTTACCCCTTACATTTTGTGTGCATTTATAGCTGATGAGGGGTTGATTTAAACTTGCATCCAACAATGTTGGCTATGGGAAGTGGAAATCTTTTTGATTAATAGGTAGAAGGAAGCTGAAGCTCCAACTTGGACTTTTTTTGGATTTGACTCAATCCTTTGAGCAATAAGTTGTTCCATTTAAATCGCGTGATAGAGAAAGTTAGTTAATAATCAATGTATTGATTTCAGAAATCTGCCCCTAAAAGCAGGAACAGAACTGATTTTTATTTTTATTTTATAAAGCGGGTGCATTATTTTTTGTTCCCTTTTGAGAATGAAATTATGTTATATTTTTGGGTGAACTTGCAGCTTGTATCACAGGGGACTCTATCCTTTTCCTTTTTTAATTCCCTTTCTCATGTTAGATTCCCTGCATCATGTCTCACTGTGGCGCCTTTCTGAGTTGTTTTCATTCTTATGTGTTATTTCAATATTTTGGACTTCAAGGGTGCTCCACAACTCGCTCTATGCTATACATTGACAGCACCGTACATTACATTTCAATATATCATACAGCTAATATTATGTTGCAGAAAATACTATTGTTGTAATAGTGCTGTCAAATTTTCTCCTTCTTTTGATTACTATCTAATTATCATGCTGAAAATTGTAATTTTTTTGTGATAATGGAGACTTCTGTTTATCATTTATTTGTATTCCGTTTATTATTAATTATGTGTTTACTGTTGATTGACAGCATACCGCCTCTTTCAGTAGTTGGACTCAGTGAAGAACAAGCTATAGAGCAAGCAAAGGGTGATATTTCAATTTTCACATCGACTTTTAATCCAATGAAGAACTCCATTTCTGGGTATGTGTTTGCTATCTAGTGTTGTTAAAGAACTAATAGGCTTACAGTTTCAATATAAAGTCATTTATAGTGAGGGTTAGAGAACCTCTTCATTTCAAATTCTGCTGATCCAGCCGTTAAAGTAATTGAGGGTTTATCGCAATCCTGATTCAAGTCTCAGCGTCAGCTTGACCATACTGCTTGCTTACGGAAACAAATTTGAAAAATAAAATAAAATAAAGAAGGCAATTAAACACTGATTCTGATAAACTGATGTATTTGTTTGTATTACACACACATACCCATGGACAGCATCTCACCATATGAATGCATATTAGTCATATATTTTAAATATATAGGAAATTAAGTTGATCTGCATTTGTAGCTATAACAAATAAGTAGTGCAGCTGGATTTAGATACCTATTTTTTAGTTTTTCTTTTTGGAATTTTGTCATCATTAACATGTAAAATGTCTCTCTTTTTCCCTTTTGGGATACACAGATAAGGTTGCTAACCTGATTGTATGTACCTTTGTGTAATTGGAACGTATTCCATTTGCATTTACAATTGCAAGTAGTTTTTACTATTCTCAATGTCTTTTCATCCGTTACTTTTTCCTGCAAAATGTCAAACTTAGTAGGATTAGGAGATTATAACGTGTTGTAGTGTCTTCTCTTGAACTCCTAATAATGTCTATGTTGTTCCCTCTTTCCAGTCCTTTGAGTTTGAACTCTCGTTCGTAATGGTTCTTTTTCTCGCCCGCCTTTTTTTTGTCTTTTTGTACAAAAATCAGGTTATTACTGCGATAGCTTCTTTTTTTTTATGTGATTATGATCCTCAAAAAACGGCCTCCATGACAAGTGCTGGTGAGCTGCAAAAGTTAACCCAGGATGTGTGATTGCTATAGAGGACATAACACACTCTATACTCGTGTCCTTGTTATGTATATGAAAGAGGGGAATAGTTTGACCACTTATTTTGTTTCTATTCTTGGAACAATTTTAGGAAGCTCTCCCCTTGATAAAGTCCCCCAAAAAAAGGAAAAAAAGAAAAGAAAAAGCTCCTATGCATTATTTCTATAATTTGGTTTGTTACTATATCTATATTAGCATGGGTTTGGTAAAAAAAAAATGTTTTTGTCAACGTTTGTGATGGCAGCAAGCCAGATGGTTGGTGAAGGGTTTGAAAGGAGGGCCACATTGACCAACTTCAGGTCTTGTGAGTCAATTAGCATCTTGGCTTTTAGCACACACAAAGAATGTCCTTGATGGTTTGTTTGATAGGAAATATGGAAAAGTAAATGGAAGGGATAAGAGGAGGGATGGAAGAGGCCCCTAAAGAAGGGGAGTGTCCTCCCTCCTTTTGTTTGGTTGAGTGGATGGGAGGAAATGGGTGATACCCTTCATTGTTTGATAGGATCCTAGGAGGGATGGGAATAGGAAATTTTGAATGTTATTCTATTATTCTACCCCCTAGTATAAAAAGTATTATGCATATGATATGATAGAACTTTAAAAATGAGGGTAATAACATCCTTTCCATTTTAGACAACAAATGACTCCTTTCCTCCTTCCTCTCTTCTTTCCAGTCTCTTACCGAAGCAAATTGGTGAACCCATATGAATGCCTCATCCATTCTCTCATTTTCTTTCTTCCTCTCTGCCTAAAAATGGAAGCCTGCTCCGTCCTTCCCCTCTTCACTTCATTCAGTCTTCTTGGCATATGAAATGTTTAATTTTTATAAAAGAGATGAAGAAGATGAAGATTGATGTATATAGTAAGAAGTGTAAGAAGTGTAAATTGAGTTCTCTCTTCAAGTGTCACTGTACTAACTGGGGCCTTGACCAGAGTTCTGTGTATTTTTGGATATTGGACAAACTAACAGTGGTTCTTCATAGTTTAATATTTAATTGAGTCTTATTTATGTCCCAATTACACGAAGATGACTTTTACTGGATGGTTTTGAAGCTATGTTTCGTTTTCTTAATTAGCATTTCAGATGTGCTATTTTTGTTACACTTGCAACCTTTTGAAGTATGCTCGTCTTTAAACTGCAATTTGACACCTTATATTGTCTCTATAGACGTCAAGAGAAAACCATTATGAAGCTTGTTGTCGATGCTGAGACGGATAAAGTTATTGGAGCATCCATGTCCGGGCCAGATGCACCTGAGATAATGCAGGTATGTTTGCATCTGTGTGAAGCTTTTCATAGAATATTTCAGGGACAGATGCTTGTATATTTAAATGCATTTTATATCGCCCTATTTTATTTTATTTTATTTTTTGGGGTGTTGGTTGGGGACTCTCAACTAAGATTTCTTTGCATGCTACAATGCCTGACCAACAGGTGAATGAGTTACTTTTTGTTCTTTATATTTGCATTTCCTGATAATTCTTGGGATATCCTTTGCAGGGCATTGCTATCGCACTCAAGTGTGGAGCAACTAAAGCACAATTCGACAGCACGGTAAGCTTGACCTCACTCTTCAGTTTTGCCATAATACTAGATATTCCCACCACCTGCATCTTGTTTTGTTAATCTAGCATCTCAGCCAGCACGCGCGCACATGCAGACACATGTATATATTGATTAGAACATCTGATCCTATGTTTTTGGGGTCTCATTCGAGATCTATTGATATAAAGGGGGTGGTGTAAAGGTGTGCTTGTGCTCAGATAAATGCACTGGACCACATTGAGTTGGAAGTTGGTTTTTTTTCTTTGGCTTTCAATTCAAGAAAGGCTTTGTTGAGTCTTGAACATGCTGGATCCAGGTTGTTTTGAAATCAAGTGTTAGCACTCCTAGATTTTTATTTGAACCACTAGACATCAGAGATGTGCTGAAGCACACTCGGTTTAAGCCTGTTCAGCATACCTGGGAAGCTTGTATGGACAACAATATGGCTTAATGTTAGTTAGGTGTAGAGCTCTTCATTCTTATATGTATTGCTACCTCATTTTTAGCTTTTGTGAAGTTCTATTCATCTCCCATCCATTTTTGCTTTTAAATGGATTCTCCCATGATCGATTCCCTCACAATTTAGTGAGAGTCTATATTCTTAGTTCTCTTACGCTTGAATATGATGGAACTAAATGGCAGAGGGACACAGAAGAGCCTATAAAATGAAATCCATGTATTTAATCACACTGCTTCTTCAGTATACGTCAACTGCAGTGCTTACATTTTAAAAATCGTTTCAGTAATATTTGATATCCTTTTCTATGTTATCTTTTCCCTTACCATCAGAGTGGTGCTCAATTGCCAACCCTTCTTCTTTATTGGCCCTGTGCCTTCAACTATTAACGTGATTGGCTTAGTTTCTTTATTATCTGGTCTTGTTTCAATGTTCATGGCATCTCATTGTTAAACCATCTCTTCTTTTACTGTAGGTGGGCATACACCCTTCGGCTGCAGAAGAATTTGTGACTATGCGGTCAGTATCAAGGCGTATTGCTGCTGGGAAACCAAAGACAAATCTTTAAAAACAAAAATGATCAGAAGCATTTACATGGAAGAGGCACTCTTGCTCATAGGTGATGTGTTTCATATTAGAGCTATACGGACAGGGAAATAGAAGGAAGGGTTTTCGTTAAAGATTTTGCAGAATAAAAGATTCTCCTGCTCCTAGGAATTGCAGACTGAAACACAAAAATATTGTTATTTCTTAAATTTATTTATGAATATGATAAGATGAGATGCAAAAACTTTTTACTCTTTCCTATGTGGTGCAGTGTTCCTTGAACCACGTCCCTTACCTTTTTGAAGGTTGGTGTTTGTTACCTGCAAATTTTAATTATATAGTAGATAAAGGCAATTTTATTTTTTAATGCTTTTATAATGCCCATTTTTACCGCTCTCTCTACTCCAGTAAATATTATAGTGCCTGTCTTGCTAAAGAAAAAAAGTTATATTATTATTGAGATGTCATAGCATTTACACACAAGGATAAAAGTGGCTGTAATTGTGAAGCGTTTAGGATTTAAACGCAAGAAAACCAAGACTCCTGAATCATGATGGGGCAATATCAGCAGGAAGTTTGAAGTGGTGTTTTGCTGCAAGCATAACTTGTACTTGGGCAAGGGCAAGTATCTTCATTTGGATACGGTAAGTAGGACCATTTCTGATAGACGAAATTGATTTAACAAAAAGCCGAATTTAATTTTTATTCTTCATTTAGATCAGAAGTCTACATTTTTATTCCGTCAGTGTTCAAAAGAAGACCGTAAATTATGGGATGAATTGTACATTCACTTGCACTAACTTGTTTAAGAAAACCCTTTAATAATTAGAGCATATTAGTAAGTTGCCTACGGAAGCAGATCTACCCATTTCAGTTTTTGAGGCTCAAATGCTTGAAGTTGATCAACAGATTCTATTCAATTAATTATACCTCAGCTTAGGAATTCGTGCCTCTTCACCAGTTGTTGCTAATATTTTGGGATGGAAATGAAGTCCAGAGCCTTCATCAAAGGCTGGAACTAATCAAGACCGCGTTGGATACACACCTGTGGGATGTGGTTTTCTTCCGAATCACATTTTAACCCGAGTAGAAAAAATGCTTAAATAATTGGATGCACACGCGTCCACAATATTGCTCCTAACAGGTTCGACACTCGACTTCCCCTTTGTAGAGGAAAGACCATACAACCTCTGACTTCCCCTTTGTCGAGGAAAGACCATACCACCTCTGAAGAGGAAAGATCATGCCATCAATGTTAAACGTCACTCGCAATACATAGACCAAAGTTACATGGACATCCCTCTAAATATCATGGAGTTTGAAATCCTGGCTGTTCGAATGAAGAAGGTTTATATAGAAAATGAGCGAGGTAAGATGTGTATTTGATTATTTTGCCGTAAAATAGTTAAGATTTCCAATTTGTACATTTGTATTCAGCATGATACATCACTATTAATAATGACTAAGATATATGAATTAGCACAATTAAGGTTAGTGCGAGTATATATATATATATAAAATACTTAAACCGCCGTTTTCCCTTCACATACATCACATATTGTGTATCCCAGGCCTTCACAGTATGGACATTTTAATCCTTCATCTACCCATTCCATAAACTGCACCACATAACTCAAATGTCAGACAAAAAGCTTAAAGCCAAATTATATAAAAGCAAAATTACTAAAACTGAAATGATCTCAAACCTGTGGTTCAATATTTGGCTCACCAGTCCCGTCACATTCTGCAACAACACTACACATTAGCAGCGGATAGTGTTAAATGACAACTGTTGGTTGTCGCAAGATTTAATCATGGCCCTTTCTACGATCATGTTATGAAGCCATCATGGCATACTTATGGATAACTAGATGATATAGGTGTACTGATCAACTCCAAAGATCCGGGTTGGTATATTGACCCATATTTAGTTCAGAACCATACTGAAAAATGAAAAGCACTTCACCCAGTTGATTAGACACTGGAATCACCAGTAGCATTTGGATTAGTAACATGATTCAAAATTAATACTACCTGACCACATGGATGGATATTTTAGGGTCCAATCTGGCCTCACAATTCCAAGCTCAAATTTAGAAATAATGTCTCAGACGAGTTGTTCTAAGTATAGTGATTAGAGGTTTAGAATCAGACCAGGCAAGCTTTGTAAGGAGGGTCTGCCACTATGTTTAATGGTTCAACCACCGGTCCACCAGATCAAATGGTTGAATAAAATAAATACCATATGAATTGTTTTAGGCTTATTTGAGACCCATAATTACAAAGCCTATTACTTGATAACAGTACTTTTAGCCTTGCCAAAATTTATCCCCACAGCATTAGCTAACCCTTATCACTAAAACAATTTATATAGTATATACTAATTGTATTTTATATAAATGTTTTTATTTTTTATGTTCTAAACTTTATTACCACCTTTGATCTGTTGTGAAGGCAAGAAAAAATAGGTTAGATAATCCCCTTTCATATCTATAAGATTCTTGATATATGGAAAAAAGATTGAAGAATTCAGAGTTTTTTTTTATTTTATTTTTTTTACCACCAATGCTCATTCTGATTGGTATCTGCTCCTCCTTCCAAATGGAAGGTTTAGGGTTCAAGTCCTAATGGACTTTCCTCTTGTTAATGAGAGGTGATTCTAATAAAATAAAATTCATTCTCATTCCATCTCATTTTATGGTCAAAATGAATGCTAATCCAGTTAGCACAGAGAGGCACTGATGTGATACCATGATATTGTATTTGATTATGCATACAAAATAGCATAACAAAGAGAAAAGGAAAGCGCAATGGCATTACTAACAACTACCAATAGAGAAGAGCGACAATTAAGTATGTCTATACAAATATGTCGGCTGTCTAATCTAGAATAATAACAAAAGATATGTACCTGTACATAATAACCGGCCCTCTCCACGACAGGAAAGACATTTTGTTGTAGCATCCTTGCTCTTGACTCCACCAACCTGTTTGTTACCGCCAGTAAGCCTAGAGGGGTCTTCCCACCTGTTCTCTCCAAGAAGATAAACTTTCCTTTCAGATAAATCAACTTCTGCAACTCCATCTTCTTTGACAACCATCTGCTGAATTTCTGATAATTCTGTTACGGAAGCAAATGCAGCTCCATTTGTATTCTCCTAATAACAAGAGACAAATTATGAATTTCTTGAATTGCACAATTCATGATATTTTAGTAGTTTACATTAGATATTTTGGCATTTATTCATTTAAGGATGACTAAATGACATAAAAACTCCCTGCATAGAAGGTAAGAGAAAACGAGGCATGGTGTGCAATGAAATAGAATGGAAAAAGAAAATTCATATGCCCGACCATTGTTTGGGATAAAGGCAACCCTGCGTCATTATGATATCTGGTAGTCCATGATTGAGTCCTTCCATCATAGGCTTGAAGTTCTTTAAGAGTCAGGTAAAACATGTTGGAGTGTGTTGAGACCCTCAGTTCCATATAAGGAACAGTTCTGTATATTTAATAAATTTGAGAGCATTTGAGAAATTCTCAATTACTTTACAGAATTTTCAAAAATTCGTGTTGATAGATTTCACGACAGTAATCAGTTTAAGCTTCTACGGTAATTTGATCAGGGTAGCGGGTTTTGCAATATTTAATGAAAATTGTATCATCTGATATTTAATGAAAATTGTGTTGTTTAGTATAAACTGTCAGAGCCCCTTATATATATATATATATATTGGAAGGTGGTAATGAGGTAGATTATTTTGATAAACTGAGAGAATCACTTTTGTTTTTGAGAGGAAATAGCAACACGGATGTAAAGATTCGCCAGTTTACTTTTCTTCATCTTGACACATCCCCTGAAGTTTTGACTCCTTGTGCACACGAAAAAGAATCCATGCTGCTGCTTTAGCATGACTTTTAGTGTGGTTTGAAGGCGCCGTGGGTGTTTTTCCTACAAAATTTCAGTTCCAGTAGCCATATGTCACTGTAGGAAGGTTCTTATAAATTGCTTCATCAGGCTTCGTTGACTTTTACAAGTGTTGTGTTTGCTGGACCTATACCCTTATATGCAACTTTTTATTGGCTTTCTCTACGGTTGGACAACCAATTATTTTATTGCTGAGCAATTTAAGTATTAGATCTATCTCACTCCATCCTATTGCCTAACAATTATTAGTTTTTTCTTAAATCCTATTATGTTATTAGGAACTCAATTAAAAAATATTAGCCCCAGGGCTCATCCCATGGGGCTTAACTCATTGGGAAAGAAACCTCCCTGTGCCAAGCTGTCAAACGCAATAACTGGTTCTTAGTTCTTACTGTGAGACCTACTTCGTGCAAATTAAGTTGAATGTTAGGTCTATATCTAGTGCATCCCTCCTACTTCCCGAATTCATAGGATCAAAACTGATATGGCCCTTTCTTTTTCTTCTGTCTCATGGAATCATACTTCATCTTTGAGAGATATAACTGCTTGTTTTATATAGGTTATGTCATGAGTTTTAGAAGAAGATTGTGTATAAATTTGTGTGTATAATAATCTTTTAGCATACGTCATATGACAATATGGTTTACAGTTCAATTGAGAATAACTGAGCCATGTAGGTGATTACGCTTCCGCAGCCATGATTGATCGGTGCAATCTTACAAGAATAATTTATAGTGCAAATTCTATTAAACAAATGAAAAACATGCTGATATGGTTTTGATGGGATTAAAATATAGCCATAATTTTGGTCTGAAACAGGAGCTGACAATGTGACACATTAGATTGCAATATCCCTAAATGATACTAGCTTCACAATGGCAGCATTTTAGAAAAACCTATTATCAGATTAGCAAAACAAATCATCCAACTTTAAAGTTTGAGAGTGGAAAAAAAAATAAAAACTTTCAATATTAAGGTTTTGTGAACAGACAAAAGGGAACACACCTTTGGATCTGTATTGACAGTCAATCCGGACTGCACAATTTGTTGCTCCATATATAGCCTTTCTAGGAGTGCTGCAGTCATAATCCCATCTTCAGGGGCGCCTAATGTGGCCTATCAAGCAAGTTGATATAAGCGAAACCACGTGAAGAAAGGGAATCATACAAGAAAAAAGGCAATATTATAATTATCTTCACATTGGCTATTCTGTTGAGAAAAGATTTATATTAGCCCTCATCCTGATGATTCTTGGGGATTATCTGTAGGCGGAATGAACTCACAACTTACTTGCCAAGTTTTTACAGCGCGGTCAGTCCCACTTGAGAAGCTGGAAAATTCCATATCTTCCTCGCCAGAATAAAATCCCAACTTTTGCAATGCTTCCTGTCAAGATCACACAAATTCAGGACACATCAAAATTAGAAATCACCCAGTAGAATAACACTACCACCCAATTGTTAGAGGATAGTGGCACTATACACTGAGGCATATACACAAGCTCGTGGACAATAACCCTGAAAAAAAAAAAAAAAAAAAAAAACTTTAACTTCCTATTGACCAAGCAGGCAGGCACCCACTTAGAGATTTAATTTAAAAAACATGGTTGCACTAGAAGCCTGGAAATTTATATGCTGCTAACTGTGCAAATAAAATTATTGTGACCTTTGATCATGCTCCGCCACAAAGATAAATTAAAAATGCACCTTATATTTAATGAGGGAATGTTTAAGAAATTTTATTCCATCTGACCTGGTAGCTTCTCCTCAGTCTTCTTTTGTATTAATTATCTCTCGTCTACCGGAAGATAAAAGTAATTAATATGTTTCTTTCATATATTTTGACCTTTCAAGCTTGTTTTGCATAAAAAATTTGTGACTTAAAACCTTCATCTGCCTAGCGGAAGTCAACTCAATCAGGAATGATTAAGCAAATTTCCAACCCTGTGGGTTTGGTAGTTTCTCATTAGATATTCTATATATTCTTTTCAGTCTTCTTTTCCATTCACGATCTCTTGTGTACTAGAGCATAAAGGATATTCCTCTTACTATCTCATGCATTTTCACCCTCAAGCTTTTACTGAATCAAGACAGTGTGACATAATGGTGCTCATCTACCAACCTTTTTTTAACTCGATTCAATAAAACTTTGACCCAATAAATAATTTTAAGTAAAGGAAATTTATTTTGGCTTCTAGTCAATTTAAGTTCAATCATCAACGTGTCACTCTTCCTTTCTAGTTATTGATTGATTTCGCTGCACATGACCAAACTATCTAGTCAGTTTTCTCATATTTTGTTTACAATAAATCATACCTCCACTATTTCACAAATACACTCGTTTGTAATTTTATACTTTCTTGTCATACCATAAATCAATCTCCACATTCATCTTTTTACTACTCTCATTTTATTATGAAATAACAGACTAAATTCAACTTTATTTTCCAATTATACTGTTCCAAATTTTAGTTGCTCGTCAATCAATTACTTCCGAAGTTTCATAAAAAAAATTATTAAAATTTAATACCCTGAGAAATTGTACAAGTTTTCATATCACTCTCAATATATATATATATATATGTATTAAAAAAAATTCAATAATAATTAAATATTTCTTCATATATAGGTACTTAAAAAAACCTCCTTCCAATCAAATTAAAGCTTCTTCAAGGTTTTGAAAATTTCAAAATCATCTGCTTCCATATAATAATACCCTTTCAGGTTCTGCATTCACATCCTATGACCATTTCGGCATGCTCTTTTTCCTATCCAAGTTCCCTCCACATATTTAGACTGTGAAGGCATTGCAGAAATTAAACCAGGTCTAGAATCCATAGGAATGCAAAATTATCTTAATCAAGATAAAATAAAAATATACCATATTTCCAACCCACAAAATTTAGAAGAGAAACTCTATTCTGGTTTAACAATCTCCTATATAATATTCAACAAATTAGAAGTACTCTTCTAAAACTTCATATGCATATGAATATATAAACTGCATAGTCAACCCAGTGAATGTGAGTGTAAATTCAATTGACTACGATTATACGACCGCATCAGTAAGGGAAATGAAAATTGCAAGAAAGCAGACCTGCATCGCTCGTACGTCGTCTCCTTCCGATCCCTTTCTCAAAGTCGCCCGATTCTTCACCTCCTTCTTCTCCTTCCTCTCTGTCTCCGAAACCCTAACCACTTCCTTCACAACCACTTCCTCCTCCACTACTCCATTCTCCGCCGCCTCCACTACCAACGGCACCGCACTGGACCCGCTCTCCGCAATCCGATTCACCTTCTTCACCACATCCGCCTCCGTCTTCTTCAACGCTTGCAACATGGCAGCGATATTCGAAACCGTCTCGGAAGCCGAAGATCCTTGAATTGAATCGTGGCGCTGCAACTCTTGAATTCGGTGTTTTAGGGCAGAAATTTCACGGAGCAGCGATTCGCGCTCGGCGTCCCACCGCGACTCCTGGCGGAGCCACCGCTGCTCCTCGCGAAGCCACCGTTGCTCCTCGCGCAACCACCGCGACTCTTCTCTCTCATAATTTGAACTGTCTGAGGATGAGAGAGAGAAACAAAAGTGAGATTTAGAGAGAGAATTGAAAGAGGATTTGGAGATTGGGAATGGAGTGAGATTGGGGTCGGAAGGAATTCGTCTGTAGAAGGGATGAAGGTTGAAACTGAGAGGAATAGAGGAAGACATGAAGTTGCAGAGGGGACTGTGTTTAAGAGGAAGAGGACATTAAGTTTATCTGATATTTTGTGCTCACAGTTAAAGTTTGAACCACACGATAGCGTTTTACGTGGCGGGAAGATAATGTAAGTATTCAGTGAGGCTGATAAAATACACCGAAACTCTTCGGCTAAATTACGCCGGGAGCCGGCGCAAACAGCTCTTTTTTCTGAATTTTCCTAGGTAAAACTTCTTTTACCCGGATGAGGAAAATAAATAAACAGAAGAAATTAGGAGGAATTGATTAATTCACTATTCCTTAAATGTGAAATGATTGATACTTAAAAAACATTCAAAATACTGATTATAAATTGATATCACCAAAAAAAAAAAAAAGTACTGATACTTAGAGAATTCACATTTTTTTGACTATTTATTTTTAGTTTTACTCCGAAGATATACATAAATTTTAATGAGATCTTTCAGTAACAGAAGCTGCACCAGAAAGAATTGGGGTAATATAATTCAAGTGGTAAAGAGATAGGTCTCAACTCTCAAGTGTCCTTCATTGTTTATTTTTAGGTTCCAATCACTACAGAAAAAAGAAGAAATTTGATGAAATCAAGGTTTTGGCAGGTGAACTACCGAAAAAAAAAAATCAGCAGGTTTTTGTGAAAAAGAATTTAAAAATAAAATAATATTATAATCTTTATAAATAAAATAATGCAAACAAGCTGTAATGGTCCAATGGATGGCTTTAAAGACTGTTTTTATTATGCCTCAAAACACAGCCGTTTTGAGGCCACCTCAAACTTGAACCCACCAATGACTTCCATCTTTAAATTCCCATCCCAGCAATGACTAATGTCAAAAATGTGCTATATTTGAGTAGGGCAAATTTTTGGGGTGGGCTAGCTCTGGTTTAAGTAAGCATTTCACGGATTATCACAACTCATCCTTTACTATGATTCATCGCAATCTTTCATGTAATAATTGTTACCGGAAATCCAAAGCTTCTCGAAGACACTTTTAATGTATAAGGTACTATCTTTGTCCCTTATTAGTTGTTCATATTTGGTTTTATAATTTTTTGTTTCAAAAGAAAATGATTTGACTTTTCAAAGAAGACGACTAATTTGAGACATGTAAAAAGAGAAAAATAGACTACTAACAAAGGACGGAGAAAGTAATTTATGGTGAGGTAAACAAAAAAGTCAAATTGATGAGGTAGATCAAGAATTAGTTTGACTTAATTATTTGGGTTAGCTGATTTAAAATTAAATAAAGATTGAATTGATCATTTGAAACGAAGTAATAAGAGAAGTTCAAATTCAAAGAGCTCATAAGTTTCCTACAAAATCTCCTGCTTTCTGCAACAAACTAAAGAGAGAGCAAACTGTAAGAAGTAGCCCCATCTAACCAATGAGGTATGAGAAATATATATATTAAATTCCTGTTTTTACTATTGAACTCCAACGACTAACTTGATCGTGGTAAATTCCTGTTTTTACTATTGAACTCCAACGACTAACTTGATCGTGGAGAGCTCTTGGTAGGCACCACACCGATGTCAATCAAGGTTCTACTTTGTGTGTGGGAGTGATTAATTTCTGAAAGAAAATGTTATTGTGCTGCGATTCGATCAAAATTTTAATTGTGAAGCTTTCTTCCATTCTCTCCCATACATTCACCACCTCCCTATATTTATATCACACCTTCATCTCTTAGTTTCATTACGAGAAACACAATGGAGAAATTTCTAGAGGATGTTGGGAAGAAATATAGGTTGGAAAATAGGAAGACGCTTCAACGCACACTATATCTGCTGCAGTGATCGAGAGATTCAAGTGTGTAGTGAAGATATTGTCGAGTGCATACGTTGTTAGATGATGGCGAACGGAGATCGCTTATTCGAGAGAGAGGAGAAACAGGTTGACCGCAAGGCTATAAGAAGGGATACAAGAAACTTGCATTGACAGTTCATTCGATAAGAACTCCTCAGCAATAACTGAATGCCCTTCAGTCAATTTTACAGACATGGAATGTCTTTTCAGATCCAACTATGATTAATGCTGTTGTTGTTGTTCACGTCGACGTGAATTATCGAATAAAAGTAATTTTGGTCCATTACACTGCAACTTCTCATCCCATCAGTACATGGGTAATGGTTGTACCTAATAGACTAATTTGCAATGGGTTGCAAAGTACACAGTTGATCAGACTCCTTTGGGAGATATTTTAGCCATTGGATCATCACAACGCCGAATCATATATGATGCACGGCATGATGACTGAGGGCATGACCTTCGGAAAGGTAAGTATACAGCAATTCGTTTTGAGCAAACTCCTTTAAATTGATCTCCAAATCCAATAATTTATTAATTCTGCACAATAAGCTAAGTGATTCTGTATTATTAAAAAAAAAAAAAATACTTTAAAATAAATATATAAAAGAGTTGGTTTCAAAAGGTAGTCTTTCAGTTGACCTATATATATTTATTTATATATAAAAGAGTTGGTTTCAAAACTATAGATATATTGTTACATCAACAAAAATTAAGGATGGCTCAAGACTATTTAACGTGCTCATGGACGCCCTCACTACGAGAGCTCTCCCCCAATTGTCGATATCACTATTTAAAAGTTAATTACTATGCCTTATGAATGTAGTTTTTTTCCTTGATATTATTTTTTATTCGGGAAAAATATTTTCTACATGACTTAATATCATTATTCTTTATATATATGATTATTCTTTTATTTGAAAGTAATATATGTTATTGAAAAATAATATATAAAATTTAAAAATATTTTGTACGTAGTTGTAAAATTTCCTAACATTGCATGGGTCACAACTTTTTAGCGCTGCCTAGGACTCACAAAGCTTATTAAAATGTGACAACTTGGATTTTTATGTTTTTAATTTATTTCATTATTATTATTATTATTATTTTGGTTGTCATAATTAATTATTTGATTATGACTGGAGATTTACCCAATTGAGACATTTAATGGGGTTGGATTTGGTTTAGTTTCATTTATATATATGGTGTATCAGTTTGCAGGAGCCGAAAATGAGGAAGGAAAAGAAGATATATGTGATAATGGTGATAATGTTTTCATGGGGCCACTGGAGATTTTAATGGGTTATTGGTTTGTTGCATTGTGTGTGTATATATATATATATATATATAGAGAGAGAGAGAGAGAGAGAGAGAGAGAGTGCATCAGATGAGGGAGATGCACCAGGCGAAATTGCACAGAGAAAGATAGATTGTAATGGTAATGTAATAGCGGGTCCCACAAGATTTTTGGATCGGTGAATTTTTTTTTTTTTTTTACAAACAGAACTATAACATTAAGAAGAAAGAGAAATACAGTCGGAGAGAATAACGTCTAAAAGCCACTTGGCCCAGACATTCCACTCCACATCATTCCATTCGGCTGCTAAAGCCTTCTTGCTCAACAAGTGAGCTATAACATTGCCTCCCCGAGGCACCCAAACTAGAGAAGAACCAGGACAAACCCTAAGAAAGGAAGAAATATCCTGAAAGACCACCATTAATGCTTCAACCGAAGCCTGAAGCTTAATAACAGGAAGACAGTCTCCTTCAATGAACACATTCTGGCATCCCCATGCTCAAAGAAGAAAAAGAGACTCTCGAAGGATAAGGCCTTCTGCAAAAGAAGGTCACGGACATTAGATAAGAACATGGATGCAACCTTGATGACCTGACCGAGGTGATCTCTAAGGATCATACCACCCCCACATGAATTCCTGGAAGAATTAAATGATGCATCAAAGTTGAGTTTGAGAAATCCGATTGCCGGCGCACCTCATCCCACCGAAGAAATCCACCGGAGAAATAACAACCGGAGGAGGAGGAATTGAAAGCAAATTGTGTTGCCTATTGATTTCCTGAAATTCAGTAAAGGCTTGAGGGCCTTTTGAGCTGCATCGCCCAGATCCCATCACTTATGGTGGAAAGATAGATCATTTCTGCACTTCCAGAGAGTCCAACAGATAAACGATGCTAGACTGGATGACTTCGTCGAATGAGCAGACAACTTCCAGCTGTCAGTAAGAGCAACCCATCTTTTAGGCCAAAAGGAAGGTTGAGAACCCCTAAAATCCAACCGAAGAGGACTGAGCAACCAGACCATACACGCAAAAGGACACGTGCAAATAAGATGATCAATAGTTTTAACCTGATCCTCACAAAAGGGACAAGAGAACACTTTCGAGCAGCCACGAACAAACAACAACTGATTAATGGGCAGCCGATCATGGAGACTTTGCCAAAGAAACAATTGAATTTTCCTATAAGTCGGAATGGACCAAACAACTCGCCACATGGAAGATTTCTGGGCTTCAAAACTACTACCAGCAATTGGGAGCAAAACAGAATGTTGGTTTAGGACCTGTAGAGCCACATGGTAGGCACTCTTAACCGAGAAAGCGCCATCTGATGAAGTGCCCCAAACTTTACTATCCACACCACCCATAGAACTAATAGGAATTTGAAGGATAAGATCTCGATCTCTCGGGTTAAAAAATTGTAACACCCGATCATGATTCCATAAATGGGTAGAGTGGATAATTAAATCTGCTACAGATGAAAAGGAGGCACCAAGAGGTTTGGAAGTGACAGAGTGATTGGAGACATCAGGGAGCCAATTATCCGTCCAACAGTTAATTAACAAACCGTCCCCAATACGCCATTTCATCCATTGTTTAATAATTTCCCTAGCAGAAAGGATACTCTTCCAGGCCCAAGAGGCTCTAGCCTTTGTTGGGGCATCCACAAAAGCATAATATTTGAAATATTTCTGTTTGAAGGATTTAAAAAGGAGGGAATCATCTCCAATTTCCATACGCCACGCCATTTTAGCTAGCAAAGCCAAATTAAAAGCCTCCACATTTTTAAAACCCAGACCACCATTGCTTTTGGACAAACACAAAGTGCCCCAACTGATCCATTTAATCTTGATAATGTATTATTTGTACACAAAAAGAAAAAGAAAGATAAGGATGAGAAAGATATGTAATGGTTGATTTTCATTTTATATATATATATATACAATAAGCACCCAGGATAAATAACTGATA